ACTGAATGAGTGTTTGATACAATGACTGACTTCATAGTTGAATTATTGTTGTATTCATTTTCTCTGCTTCTTTCATTTTGTTCTTGTTCATTTTCATTATCTTCATAGTCAGATTGTTTCCTTCTTGGATTTCTCTTCTGAGGCATAGCTCTAAACCGCTGCCACCATGTAATATTTTACTAGGAATTAAGTGAATGCACTGTTTTATGTCATAACTCAAACTCAACTAACTTTATTTACCTTTTCACAAACATAGAATAACAAATAAACATATGATAATAATTAATAGAAATTAACAGGTGTTATGAAATAAACTGTTCTCACAACACTATGCCACCTACGTTAATAGCTACTTCCCTATAGGGAAATTTGCTAAAACAACAAATAAACTAATTATAGCTACACACAACAACGATAAATGCACAAATTTAATATAAAAATGGTTTATTTTACCTTTTTTGCGTCGAACGATCCGTGTGTAGTTAGTACAACTACAGCTGTTTCATACCACTAGGGTACATCATCAGGTTGTTGGCAGAACGTTAGATAAAACAGCATTCATTCATAGATGAACTTGTCGAAATAAATATGTCTATATACACATAATACACGAAAAACATTTAAAAAACACGAATTTACGAACTTGGCCAAGTAACGAACACACGAGACAGGCGCCGATGGATGTTGCGTCATGACTGCTGTCGTGTGTCCAAGCATCAGCTGTTACCCCTCCCCCCCAACTCCTTTATCAGGACCAGTTTTGTTTTGGTTTAAATGAATGGCAGTATTGTAGATGATATTAGATCTGAATGAAATTTGTTCGTTCAATATATGGTCAGGGTGTTCTTTGGATGCCTTGTATATTTCGAACTCCTCTATTGTGTCCATGTATCTGCCTTTAGTACATAAATGCATAATTTCTAGATTACTATGTATGTCCGTGTAGTTGTGATTTGCGTTAATTATGTGGTTGGCGAATGCTGATTTCGAGTTCTTTTTGGGTAGGTGTTCTTTAAACCTAGTGGCGAAAGAGCGAGCAGTTTGGCCGATGTAAAAGCTCGGGCAATCGTTACATGTCATTTTGTAAATAACTGTGCTGTTTACTTTATCGGAATGTGTTTTATTTTTTTCTTTAAGCATAGTAGATAACTTGTTAGATGTTTTGTATGCAACGTGTACATCGTTCTTTGCCATTTCTTTTCTCAAGGTGTTATTGAGTACTACTCCAAATTCAGCACATACATACTTTTTGTTTCTGGGTTCTAGAATCTCTTTTGTTTTATTTTTCTGTTTTCTGATAAGTTTATCAATGAGAGAGCTTTCATATCCATTGGCAACGGCAATGTGCTTCAAAATGTTTATTTCATTGTTGTAGTTTTCTGTGGTAAGGGGTATGGATAATAGTCTGTGAACGAAACTATTGTAAGCAGCTGTCTTGTGGTTGAAAGGATGGTGTGATGACGAATGGATGGTCTGGTCAGTTGTTGTTGGTTTCCTGTAGATTTTGAATTCCATGATGTGATCAGTTCTTGTTATTGTTACGTCTAAGAAATTAATTGATTTGTTAGCTTCGGTTTCGAGGGTGAATTTTAGTTTATGGTGGACATTGTTCAAATAATTTCCAAGTATCTTTATCTGCCTTTCATTACCGTTGAATAAGATTAATGTGTCGTCCACATATCGGCTGTAGTGAACTATTTTGTCTTTTTGTTTGTTGGAATCTGACCATAAAAATTTATTTTCTATATTGTTTAGAAACAATTCTGAAAGGACGCTTGAAAGTGGAGAGCCCATAGCTAAACCTTCGTTTTGTGTGTAATATTTATTTTCAAACGTGAAATAGTTTTGTTTGAGGACTATTTTAGTGAGATTAACTAACTCATTTTTAGCCTCGGTTGATAAGGAGGAGTTTTTATCTAGATTAGATTCAAGTATGTCGATGGTTTCATCAATGGGTACGTTTGTGAATAAATTCACAACGTCAAATGAGGCTAAAGTATAAGAACCCTTTAGTTTAATTTTACAGAGTTGGTTTACTACATCAACTGTGTTCTTAACACTATGGTCGTTATCTAAGGCGGTCTCTTTCCTAATTATTTTGTCAAGTTTTTGAGCAATTTTATAGGCTGGTGAGGGTCTGAAATTTACTAGTGGTCTGATGGGCGTGTCAGGTTTGTGGATCTTCGGTAGTCCTCTAAGAATGGGAGCCTGGGGTTTAGTAACTTTGCATTGCTTTATTTCATCTTTAGACAAAAGATTTGTTGACGAGGATATCAATTTATTTATTTCTTTGGAGTAGGTAGCAGTAGGGTCACAGTTTAATGTGTCAATATTATTGGCTGTGATGAATTCACAAACTTTGTTTACGTATTCAGTTTTACTGAGGATAACAATGCAGTTTCCCTTATCAGCTTTTGTGATAACGGCATTGTTTTGTTCTAACTTGTCCCTAATGTTGGCAGCGACTTGTTTTAAAGGTTTATATTTTGTCAAGTATGATTTTCTAATGTTTGGATTTAAGACAGCTTTTTTCATTTTGTTTGTGATCATTACTCTTGCCGTATCACGTGCGTCATTGTTGTTTAAATATTTTACAGCTGTTTCTGCATTTAGTAGTTCTGATATCAAGCTATTTTTCTTATCATTGGGAAAATTATAATTTAATCCTTTGTTCAAAAGATTGGTTTCTTGTTCAGAAAACTCAATGTTCGTTTTATTTATAAATCTTGGATGAAATACGTGACTACAATTTACTGTATCTTTATTCAACTGTGATTTTACTAGTGAATCAATCTTTTTGGTTTGGGATTTCTTTTTTAGAAAAATTTTTCTATTGATTGGAGAATCCAATTCTGATAACACGTTCTTGGTTTGTGAAGGGTGAAGGCTGCTTAAAAGTTCTAAATGTGTGTTCATTAGTAACTTGTTCAACATGCATTTTTTGGCATGCAACGACTTGATTTCATGTTTAATCCAAGTAGTTTCAGCAACTTTTTTGGCTTTTTTAGCAGCTTTGGAGACGTTGTTAATTTTAACTGATACATATTTAGGGACTAATCCATATTCAATGCATTTTTTATTAAATTTTATGTTTTCTATGGTTTTGAAAAGTTTTATCTTAACGTTCTTGTATTTGTAGGCTAATTGAACTTGACAAGTTTCCAATTTCATGATGGGTTAGCCTCTGGATCGTAAATTGCAATATAAAAATGGTTTATTTTACCTTTTTGCGTCGAACGATCCGTGTGTAGTTAGTACAACTACAGCTGTTTCATACCACTAGGGTACATCATCAGGTTGTTGGCAGAACGTTAGATAAAACAGCATTCATTCATAGATGAACTTGTCGAAATAAATATGTCTATATACACATAATACACGAAAAACATTTAAAAAACACGAATTTACGAACTTGGCCAAGTAACGAACACACGAGACAGGCGCCGATGGATGTTGCGTCATGACTGCTGTCGTGTGTCCAAGCATCAGCTGTTACCCCTCCCCCCCAACTCCTTTATCAGGACCAGTTTTGTTTTGGTTTAAATGAATGGCAGTATTGTAGATGATATTAGATCTGAATGAAATTTGTTCGTTCAATATATGGTCAGGGTGTTCTTTGGATGCCTTGTATATTTCGAACTCCTCTATTGTGTCCATGTATCTGCCTTTAGTACATAAATGCATAATTTCTAGATTATGCATTACAAATTGGCCGAGCTTTTACATCGGCCAAACTGCTCGCTCTTTCGCCACTAGGTTTAAAGAACACCTACCCAAAAAGAACTCGAAATCAGCATTCGCCAACCACATAATTAACGCAAATCACAACTACACGGACATACATAGTAATCTAGAAATTATGCATTTATGTACTAAAGGCAGATACATGGACACAATAGAGGAGTTCGAAATATACAAGGCATCCAAAGAACACCCTGACCATATATTGAACGAACAAATTTCATTCAGATCTAATATCATCTACAATACTGCCATTCATTTAAACCAAAACAAAACTGGTCCTGATAAAGGAGTTGGGGGGGAGGGGTAACAGCTGATGCTTGGACACACGACAGCAGTCATGACGCAACATCCATCGGCGCCTGTCTCGTGTGTTCGTTACTTGGCCAAGTTCGTAAATTCGTGTTTTTTAAATGTTTTTCGTGTATTATGTGTATATAGACATATTTATTTCGACAAGTTCATCTATGAATGAATGCTGTTTTATCTAACGTTCTGCCAACAACCTGATGATGTACCCTAGTGGTATGAAACAGCTGTAGTTGTACTAACTACACACGGATCGTTCGACGCAAAAAGGTAAAATAAACCATTTTTATATTGCAATTTACGATCCAGAGGCTAACCCATCACAAATTTAAGTTACAATCATGCTAACACGATCCGTCATAGCGACATAAAACAACGATAAATACACAAATTTAAGATACAACCATACTAACACGATCCGTCTTTGGGGTTATGTTTACACAAACTCAAATACCATAATAAATAAATGTAAATAAATGTACTCAATCAGTTTCATTGAATTGAAAAATAAATAACAGCAATTAAATTATACAGCTGATCAAATTGTAAACAATTATATTCTTCATAAGGATAACATGGGAACTTTCAAAGCCATGGGGCAGAGGCCAAGGGACTTTTACAAAAATGTAAGGCCAGTTTGCAAATCTACGCGATATGCTCTTTCCAATGAGACGTCAATGGACAAAATCAGTTAAGAAATGGCGGAGGAGTTCAACCGACAAAGTTTCATGTAGCGTATTAATTATATAGATTGTTAATCTAAAGATTGTTTTTCACAGATACTGAAGCTCTCTCAAAACCAGATAATTGATGACCATGATTATTTTAAAAAGGTCGGACGGTCAGCCATTTAAACCAAATTTCCAGAGGAAATGATTTGACGTTACATAACAACAAATTAGTATTATGTTATATACAAATACAATCAATATCTATTTTTCTCATTACAGCAGAAGATACAAGTAACAAAATGGTAACCCCAACAAAAATTTTGGAAAGCGATACGGACACTTCTGAACAATCAGAAATTAGGCATTCAAGTAGTGTAAGTACCAACTTTAAACGTGTTTTTAAGTATTTTTAGCATCAGATAATCTGCTGATTATGTTTTCAGTAGCATTACTTGCCTTTCATGGTAGCTGCTCCTAACCAAAAAGGAATTGTGTAAATGTTCAGTATTTTTATGTATATTCCAGGTGCTGGATAAACTGGTTGGAAATTGTGCTTTAGATTACGCTTCATTATAAAGAAACTCTGAATACTGAACAAAATACTGCAGAAATGGGACCATACATGTATCATTGATATTAAATGTGTGATAACTCCCCTTTGTGGATACTTAGTTGGCGATGAGGATGGAAACACAAGTCTCTAGAAACACGTACATAATCGGTTAATCCAACCCGCGGTAATTAGTTCAGTGTCAAGGTAAGAGAAATCTACACATTTGATCTAAAACAAACGGCCTACAGTAACATGATGGTTTTGTAACAGGTCTCGCAGCTGACTCCAGCCACCCCATTGACAGGACGAAGGTATCTAAAGGCCAAGGACCCTGGCAGTCTAACACCCGTGTCGACAGCAACACAAAGTGTACAAAGACTGCAGAATCTACTGAGTGGCCGCAGTCCAGCACCTTCACCCTACCTGCAACAACTGATTAGGTAACCTACACATTCAGGCTCTTAAAATTAGTTATAAAATATACAGTAGAACCTCTTTAATCCGAACCCCTGTAATCCGAACGTCCACTAATCCGAACGCCTCATTGCTGTACTTTATACACAGTACAGTAGTTCTATATTGTATACTGTATTTATTGAAATACGCACCGTGGTTATTTCAATTGTAAAGTATAGTACTGTTTATTCCTTATGTCTACTACTGTATTAAATAAACACTGTATTTTACTTTATAAAGTATTTTTCACTTTTCCCTAGCTTTGTTATGTAAAAACAACAATATGTTCTGTAATCCGAACTATTCAATAATCCGAACTACCCCTGGTCCCAATTAGTTCGGATTTAAGAGGTTCTACTGTACTTTACATATTTCGTTGAAACATCATAAAGGACAGTTAACAAGTATTTTGAAATGAGGATGTATTGCTAGCTTTGAGCAATGATAATAATCTATGGCCATTGTCTAACATTTCTGAACTCTTTATTCAGAAAACCTTTTTGAAGATATGGTTTTACAGGACATTTTAGTTGCTAAATTAAAGTGTTCTATACTTGTTTACATAATATGTTAATTCTAGTTAGACAAATTTTAATGTTCTCTTTTTAAAACCAAAGAGTATTTTTAATAGATATTTTACACATTTATTTCATTGCTACCTTAATTACACTATACCAAGTTACATAAGGATATATTTAATGGTTTTTGAGATATATTAAAAAATATATAAGATGGCAGATATCTTGATAACAAGGGAATAATGGATAAATTTGATTTATAACTTACGTATGTATTTATATTTGGCCTACAGACCTGTTCCCAGAGTTTGGTGTTTGATTTATGTGGCAATCTGTATAATATTTTTAATTCTTGCAATTTTTAACTGAGCTTATTTTGATTTGACTGTCTAAGCAAATGTAAATGTTTCACAGCAGTTGCAGTGACGACCCTCACATTGTAGACAGGATCAAGTCTCACGGACAGAAGTTCATATCTCAATACACTCAGTCCGCTCAGACACACATAGACTTTGCCCAACAACGGCTACAACTGGCCGAAACACTGTATTACAAGTTGCTGGAAAATATACTCAAGGACGAAATGAAAAAGCCTAACTTTGATTGCAACGTAAGTATGACCTTCGAATGTATGTATATTAGTGTGAAGTCAACGTTCTATTCTGGTAGCAAAGTTGTTGCTTGTTTTAGATCAAAAAGAATTGTATAAAAAAAACTGTTTACAACTCATCCTTATAGACGGGATGGCCACTTCATGTTAATAAGTCAGTAGTATAATGTTGATATCTGTGGTTCTAAAAAAGGTCTAGGCCTATTAGAGGTGAATTCTTACTTTTTTACTACAAAGTAGTGATGGTCGGACCTGGATATCGGACTACCGGATCCGCCGGATCCAAGCTAGATCCGGCACCCGATCGGATCCAAAAAATTCCGTTTTGATGGATCCGATTTTTTCAGATTTTTCCCGACTTTTTTACCAACACAAAGCTGTCTGTATCCATGTACAAGACCGATTTTCCCCCGATTCTTTTACTAACACAAAGCTGACTGTATCCATGTACAAGACTGATTTCCCCCCGATTTTTTTACAAACACAAAGCTGTGTGTATCCATGTACAAGACCGATTTTGTCCCGATTTTTTTACTAACACAAAGCTGTCCACTTTGCTTTCTCAAATCAGTGAGAGAACATGTAAATTGTTAGGTAACTGTAGCAAAAGGTTATTTTACCTGTAGAGCTTCACATACCCGGCTATCAGTACTGTGGACTTGGAACGGATTTAAGGAAGAGATTAACAAGAGGTGATCCAGGCATAAATAAATTGGATGCTGCATGCAAAAACCACAATATAGCATACTAAAAATCGAACTATAGTAAAATAAAATATACACAGATACCCTTTTGGTGGTCGTGCAAACTTAGCAAAAAGTTTCATTTGATGATTTTGAAAAGTTTTAGTGTCTCTAAAAAATTATAGGGATTATGGGCTCAACTGGAGAGTGAAGATTACTCTATATATAAGATATATTAACCTTTAAAAATTACCAATTTGATTTTGAACAGTATGATTTAAATTGGCATTTTGTTAATTACGTTTTTTTAACCCGTCCTTTTGACAGTGTGTATCTGGATCCGGATCCGAAGATCCATATCCGAATTTTTCAAGATCCGGATCCGATACCGACATTTTCTTGGATCCGCCCATCACTACTACAAAGTAAACAAATACTTTTCTTTTAGGTAGGTCTGATCACCAAAAATTAAGTTTAATTTTTTTATTGTACACGCTTCTTTTGCAAAATTGGTTTGAAATTTTTTTTTTACCTATAAGAAAATATAGAAGTGACCAAACTAAATTTATGATTTTAATCTTTTGTCGTGTATTATTTTGCTTCCAGTAAATGTCTACAGTATTTATTCACAAATGTAGCGTAAATTAGAATTTGCCTGCAGTAGAGCACAATTGTCTTCTTAATATCAGCTATCTGGACATCCATTGAGTAAAAATAAACTGTTTGCCTGTTGTCTGGAGATAGTCATCTCAGCCTACCTTCCCCTGGGTACTAGTATACTGTTACAATCTAACGTTGTTGTTGCAGAACCTGTTGTGTCACGAGGTGTTCCACCAGACACTGTTTGCCTGTTGTCTGGAGATAGTCATCTCAGCCTACCTTCCCCTGGGTACTAGTATACTGTTACAATCTAACGTTGTTGTTGCAGAACCTGTTGTGTCACGAGGTGTTCCACCAGACACTGTTTGCCTGTTGTCTAGAGATAGTCATCTACTCGTACAACTCTCAGCGTACCTTCCCCTGGGTACTAGTATACTGTTACAATCTAACGTTGTTGTTGCAGAACCTGTTGTGTCACGAGGTGTTCCTCCAGACACTGTTTGCCTGTTGTCTGGAGATAGTCATCTCAGCCTACCTTCCCCTGGGTACTAGTATACTGTTACAATCTAACGTTGTTGTTGCAGAACCTGTTGTGTCACGAGGTGTTCCACCAGACACTGTTTGCCTGTTGTCTAGAGATAGTCATCTACTCGTACAACTCTCAGCGTACCTTCCCCTGGGTACTAGTATACTGTTACAATCTAACGTTGGTTGCAGAACCTGTTGTGTCACGAGGTGTTCCACCAGACACTGTTTGCCTGTTGTCTAGAGATAGTCATCTACTCGTACAACTCTCAGCGTACCTTCCCCTGGGTACTAGTATACTGTTACAATCTAACGTTGGTTGCAGAACCTGTTGTGTCACGAGGTGTTCCACCAGACACTGTTTGCCTGTTGTCTAGAGATAGTCATCTACTCGTACAACTCTCAGCGTACCTTCCCCTGGGTACTACAGGCTCTGGGTGTGGAGCCTTACCACTTCTACAAGGTGATAGAGGTGACAGTCCGCGCGGAGGAGCAGCTCAGCAGAGACATGGTCAAACATCTCAACCTAGTGAGCAAACATTTCAGTTTCGCATATTAGAACTCTTCATATCCCACCGAGCCCCAGGATGAAAAACAATTTGGCTGTATGAATCAATCATAAAAATGATATTTGAAACCTAACAATAATGTGTAATAAATAATTGTAGTCAAGAGCAATGTATTTTTAGAAAATACAAATTTTTAAAACAAAAACTAATAAAAAATTTATGTTAAAGAGGTTAAGTAGGCCTAAATAACATAAAATATTATTAAATGGTTTATATTACCTGTCGTCAGTGATCCTATTGTAGTCTTAGGCGACCGGTTTCGGGATTAAAATGCCATCATCCGGCGGTTAATAATTTCATTTCACTCAAATTGAGGTCGTCGGTAAACACAAAAACATGCGCATAAAACATGACCACGCATCTACCCATGCTGCTTCGTAGTGTCCTCTACTGGCCAGTTACAAATATTTGTACAATGCCCATCCGTGTTTTCGTGTTTCATGTTTTATGTGCGTGTTTACCGACAACCTCAATTGAGTGAAATGACATTTTTAACAGCCTGATGATGGGATTTTGTTCCCGAAACCGGTCGCCTAAGACGACAATAGGATCACTGATGGACAGGTAATGTAAACCATTTATTTCAATAAGTGATCCTGGGCCACTAACCACAATGAAAATAAAGTATTATGAACTTGACTTGAACTTAAACTAATATTAAATAAAAATAAATATGGAAGTGAAAATTGTCAAAAGTCCAAACTGGCTGTGACAAGGTTGGATGTACAGAAAATAATATAAACCAAAGAACCAAATTTGTATAAGTTGTTAATGTGTCTCAATTGGTAGATTCACTCTTTTATCTGATGTACTGTTTATTTCTAGATAGAGGAGCAGATACTGGAATCTCTTGTTTGGAAGAGGGAGAGTCCTTTGTGGGATGCCATCGATGACTCTGGTAATTTTTAAAAATGTGTACCAGTATCAATAATTAGCCTACTTCATTATTTATCATTATTTCTGTCAGTTCAGTTATCTTAATTGTAAATCTTTGTGACCCTTTTATTTACCTCTCACTTTCTACTTTAAGCTTAAACTTTTTACAATTAGCTTAAATATTTTTAACTACCTTCACACGAGCCCTCACATACTATAAACAGCTTTAAATTTGTGCAATTATTTTTCTCTTTTTATAATACAAAATTATATTACTCATAATTAGCTTTGACATTTTTACAAATATTATTCCTTTTCACAATTAGTTTTAATTTTACAGTACAATTTATTGTTTTTAACTGTTTACATCTACCTCAAACTCTTGTCTCAAGTTAAAACCAAAAAATTTTTATTTAATGATTCATTAAGAAGTTTAAAGTCTCAGACCTAGATTGCCAATAAACTATCTGCAAGTCCTTTATAAGGCTGGTCGTTAATTTTTACCAGCAGCAGGAGTAAACGTGTTTGTGATAGTTTAGCCTATTGTACAAACCTAAGGACTTGTTAAACCCAATGTAAATAGGGAATAAATCTGACATGCTAAAGGAAATATTTGGGTGAAAGTCCAATCAGGTAGTAACACAACCTAATTACATGTGTATCACAGGTCTGCCAGTGCCATGTTGTGAAGATGTTATGTTGCCTGGTCAGTTGACAGAGGATAACTCTTCAGCGACGTTACTCAACAATCCAGCAATCCGTCGTCTGGTTTTACCAGGTAACCTGTCTGAGCACAATGCTTTGATGTATTGCGAATAGCACTTTGCTTAAGACATAAAAACAAGTCTAGATTCCTACCCTTTTACTTTCGCAACCTGGGTTGATATATCATATTAAATATGAATGTGAATATCTGTTTTGGGTTAGGCCTACCCTGAACTTGCAAATCACGGGTATAGTTGCTTGTAATACATACTAGTGGTGCCTCGTGGTCAAAAACTCGACCAAAAAGTATTGTGTTAACTTCTCTATTTTCACCCCATGCTGTAAATAAAACATGTGGTTGGAATTTGTTTTGGTTTTCTGTTTATATTTTATTGTTATTTCGTCACCAGCATGACAACCCATAAGGCCCATGTTAGTTTTTAAAATTTTAAATTCATTTTTTGTGCTTATTTTTTAGCCTATTTTGCTTTATAAAGGGATTCTGCATATCTACAGGCAAATGTATTTCTAACAGTATGCGTAGATTTTCCTTGCGATGCACACAAGCTGAGGAATAAGGTTTTAAAGAAACATGCTTGCCTATTAATATATAGAAGATATATAGATAATGCATAATAAAAATTGGCTACAGCTGATCCAAATGGGATGTCTACTTCAGTTCCAAAAGTTAACAATTCAAGCTTACAGAACAAGAGTCCTATTTACAAAAGACATTGAGAACTTTTAAAATGTTGGAATCAAATATTGGAATGTTTATGAAATGTTTCAGCAGTTCCAGGTGTGCCCCAGTCCCCAGCACCCTCCGCCTCAGAGAGGTTCCACTCCCCCGTCACTGCCACCTCCGCCATCGCCAAGAAGAAACTGTTCATAGACAACTCTAGAGGAGTTTGTACAGTCATGCCGGGACAGTCAATCCTAGCAGCGGCTCCTAAACCTCCAGGTGAATGTCTGGCGTTTGCATATTTGTGTAATCATTTAGGAAAGTTGTCATCTACTTTCTATAGTCCTACCTTAAACATGTCACTATAGACTACTGGTACTGATCTGTGTGGTGATGTGAAGTCACACGGACAAGCTGTTGTTGGCTGGTTTTAGAGATAAACTAAATAGTGACGCACTGCATCGCGCATGTGGCGTAGAACTTCTAACTAAGTTGTACTCTTTAGTAATGTTTTGTCCCTCCGGTACGTACTCATGATAAACGAGTTGTGAAGCTCCTAAATGTACACACAGACATCCACACAGACACCCTCTCCAAATGCCACTTCAGCGAGAACAAAATTAAATGTCTCCATCAAAAACTGAAGTTTGAAGTTGTTCTGAAAAAAAACTTGTCTGTATACTAGAAAAATGGTTGGGAAAAAAACTATGCACAAAATTATATTAATTGTTATCAACTTTTTGATGAACTGCTAAAAACTTGTCTAACATTGTTTTCTATTTTAGTGGCCGCAGGGGAAGAGGCGGAGACTAAAAAGCCACAGACAGGAAGTAGTGTCATCATCAACCCAGCTATGCTCAAGGAACGGCAAACAAAACCTAACCGACCCCGTCGCACTGGTTCTCTAGGGCTATTTTTTAGGAAGGTAAGATTTGGTTGGTAGATTTAAATTTGAGATTAATTTTATGAGACACTTTTAACTGGCTTATACATCTTATACTACATTTTTAATCCTTACCCACATTATGCTTAAAAGCATATTTTTGTTTCAGTTCTATCACTTAGCGGCAGTGAGAATGCAAGAGTTATGCAGTCATCTGGATCTCAAAGAGACTGAGGTAACACATTTCATTCTAAACTAGCTTTCACATTTGATTGCAAATTGGTTTTGAGCTGGGTGTTAGTGATGGTCGGATACGGTTATCGGACTACCGGATCCGAGCTAGAACCTGCACCCGATCGGATCCAAAAATTCCGGATCTTGGGCTGGATCCGGTTTAGATGGATCCGATATTTTCAATTTTTTTCCCAATTTTTCCCCTAACACAAAGCTATCTGTATTGTTTACTAACACAAAGCTGTCTGTATCACAGTACAACCCCGATTTTTCCCCGATTTTTTTACTATAACACAAAGCTGTCTGTATCCATGTACAAGACCGTTTTTTCCCCGAGTTTTTGTCTCGTGATGCAAATAACTTATACGGCAAGGCCATGACTCAGTGTTTGCCTCTTGATGCAAATAACTTGTATGGCAAGGCCATGTTTCAGTGTTTGTCTCTTGGTACAAATAACTCATATGGCAAGGCCATGTGTCAGTGTTTGGCACTTGATGCAAATGACTTATATGGCAAGGTCATGTCTTAGTGTTTGTCTCTTGATACAAATAACTCATAAGGCAAGGCCATGACTCAGGGTTTGTCTTTTGATGCAAATAACTTATATGGCAAGGCCATGTCTCAGTGTTTGCCACTTGATGCAAATAACTTATATGGCAAGGCCATGTCTCAGTGTTTGTGAATTTGCCAAGATCAAAGCTAGGAAAATTAATGTTTAACTGCTAAGAGCTTTTAAACTGTTCAAATTGAAAATTTTGTATTCTTTTTGTCAAGGTAATGAATTTGGTTTTTCATGTTTTCTACATGTTTAATGTGTTCAATTAAAAATTCCTCTCTTGTCATCTACCTACACCTGTTTTTCATTGTAATAGGCTTTATAAAAACTTATATCGTATCCAAGATATCCTGTAAAAATTGTTTTCACACTTATAAATAAATTGTTAACTTAGGCCAAGCAATCAATGCTCGTCAAGCATGACGTCACGATAGACGACGGCAATGACGTAGGTATTTATTTATTTATTTTCCAAGGAAAGATTAAAACAAGCAGCTGATCACAAACGGCAAATATTGCGCCATTGTTGTCTTCTATAGTGACGTCATGCTTGACGAGCATTACGACTATTTTTTAAAACGTTTTTATTAGCTCGCTTTCTTGTCCGGTACAAATTTTGCAATCGATTTTATACTAAGTTCCCGATGAGCTAGAGACTTGAAACTTGAAACATAGCTCACAAATGGATGACAATGCAATATTATATCATTTCATTTTCATATTTCCCTTGGGATACGCCCCATGGGCTTCCACATTTTCCATGTTTACATTTTGAAAGAATGTAAACATATCAATTAATTTAAGTCAGCTGTAAATACTTAAATTTGACAGTTCGAAGAGCAGAGGTTAAGAGGTACAAGTTCTGCTCCGGATATATTCTAAAAATATAAAACAAGCATTTTAAAGTCAAGATAAAACATCTGATTAGAGATAATAATCAGGTTTTGGTTAATGGTTATATATTAACAGGCCATATAAAATATATTTAACATATTTACTCATTAAAGACTAAAAAGTTGAAAATAATTTATAAATAAAAAGCTTTTTTAAAACAAAACGTTTTTAAATGCACTAAAAAGTAGAAAATAATTTATAAATATGTTGAGAGTATAAATACTTGTAAGATTTAAAACGAAAAACGTTGGGTGCATGCAATTAATTGATAATAATACATTAGTTCAATAGGTGAAGGTAATTGTAAATTATCAATTGCATGCACCCCACGTTTTTTGTTTTAAATCTTACAAGTATTTATACTCTCAACATATTTATAAATTATTTTCTACTTTTTAGTGTGTTTAAAAACGTTTTGTTTTAAAAAAGCTTTTTATTTATAAATTATTTAGTGTGGCCTTGGTTTTGCTAAAGTTTATATGATGAGTAAAAGTGTAAAAATGTTAAATTTCTGGGAATAATAAACAGTCTTTTATTGCAAGTATTCTTCTAACCTAAACTTATAAAAAAGTTCTTCCCAAAATCGTTGGGAAAAAATTCACAAATATAATTAATTAATGTTCCTGGATTGTGGGGGAGTGGGTGGGGTGGTGTTATATATTTTCTATTTGCATTCCTCAACAATCATATGTTATTTTAAATATTTATTATTCCTGATGTTTTTACTATTGTGATTATAAAAACATTGTTCTCAATACAAGACTCTTTTACAACACCATCTTGAAATAATTTATTCTATACTAATTGAGCGGAGCGAGCGAAGCGAGCGAAGCTCTTTGGGATCAACTTCAATGCAAACAATATAACACCATCACTCAATAACGGCTGAACACATTTCAGCCAAACTTAACAAGACTACTTAGACTAATAATGAGATGGTTTGTAAACAAACAAATTTCAATTAGATAATGCTAATGCAATTTAAAACGAACTTAAAATTTAAAATTTTTAACATTGGGCTTATGGGACTAAAGTAGCCATGACAGTTTTTTTGTTTACAAGAAAAATGTAAACAAGAGAATCATAAGGTATTTCTGAACTTTCTATACTTTTCTTTTAAACGATTTTAAACCATTCCTATGATTTTAATAAACAAGAAAATGCCATTAAAACATTTTTTTAAGGCAAGGAATTCACTGAAAATCGAGAAAATATACTGAACTACTTTCTCAATGCGCGGAGCATAAACAAGGAGCGGAGGGATACGGACCGGTGACTACTTTCTTGGGAACCTATTTGTGTTGCCAGCTGATTAGAAACAGCCAATGTTAGAAATCAGGATTTAATAAGCGATATATCGAACCGCATCGAAATCGGTATTTAATCCGATAATACCTCATAGGTTATATTATGTTTAATTACATCGACGGTACAGTAAGTTATTACACTTATTGATAAAACGCAGATTGAACACTGATTTAGGCATGTGGGGAGGTAGGTCGGGGTTTATGAGTATTCGTGACTACATTAAGTGTTTTGAAGTAAGGTTAGATTAGGAAGGTATAGTGTAGGTTATAGGTAGGCGATCGGGTTGTTTATTTGTGTTGCACCATATAATTTTTTAACTTTTGGAATGGAATAGTTGGTTAAGGTTAAACGGGGAAACGATTTCAAAAATGCTTGCATATGGTCTTAACTTAACAAACCATCTACAGTATTCTAGCTTTGACTTTATAAAGTCAATGATTCTAGCAAATTATTACATACTGACCAAAAGAAAAGAGAACATTTGGATTTGTACCTTTGACCATAGCAAAACTAACATATAATTATGGAATGTGAAAAGTTGTATATCATTATATACTATTCTGTAATATTAATAATTGTTCGGCAAATCCTCATTTTAATGGCTCGGCTGAAAATGGAATCTGCATTTTGTGAAACAGTAATTTGGTAACAATTCAGTTATTTCAAATGTTGATAACAGTAGCCCATCCTATATAAATACTGTTATTTGATTGCCAAGCCACGGACTATACATACGTCCAGTTACAACCTTTGATAAGTAAACCTGGGCTTATAGAAGTACACTTTTAACCACGGTACCTATGGATAATTGTCTAGGCCTGTCCAGAAGTAGGCTACTAATTTCTAATTATATTATCTACATTGTATATTTTAGGCATGTCTTCCCTACTTATTATATTATTCTGTTTTCACTTAAATCAGCTGAATGCGATGTTTACTTATTACTTATGTTTAGGCCTACATTTCAGTCATTTTATGTTGCACGGTTGAATTTAAATGTCAAATTTCCCCTCCTGTTGTTATACTTTAATACAGTACTCGTTTTTTTATAGTTACTGTTTTTTTTATACTTAAATACTTTAACCGATTGTAAGGGTGAAAAATGTAGCCCAATGTTTTTTTGTTGTAGGCTACAGTTGCATTTGAATGTTAAATTACCTTTCTCATTTTTATACTTTACTTTTTGGATGTTAATATCAGATTCCAACTACTGTAATATTTTCCTGGTCAAAACTACCATAATGCACTTCTCGAAGAGGTAAATTTGAGTTATTATAATTTTAATCTTTAAAACCAGCATTAGTAAATAAATCTATTGACCTTTTTACATTTAGTTACTTATACAAATATCAAATCACGTTTGTTCCGCTCAACTGGCTTTCACCTCTCTGAAAGCAACCCTAGTTATCAAATATTACTTCAAGTATTTTAAAGTGGCGACGAGGAAAACGGCAAGATGGACCAGGAACAGTTTCAATTATTTCTACAAACACTTACAAAAGCTATTCAAGGTATGTTTGATTCACAACCATCAAAGAATTTAACACTGATTTCAAATTTTGACCAGTTTGACTGTACACAAGAAACGTTTTCTCAATACAAAGAGAGATTCGAAAACTACTTAAAGTTGAAAAACGTATTCTCAGACAAAGATCTCTGTGCCCAGATATTTATTAACAGTCTAGGCTCTTCTGGCTACGACTTGTTGTCTACCTTATCGTTGCCAAAGAAGGTAAATGAGCTGAAGTACGAAGAGCTTACTGCCCTAATGACAAATCACTTTCCTGCTCAAAACGAAATTGTCGAACAACACAAATTCTTTTCTCGGGTACAAAAGTCTGAGGAGTCAATTTCCAGTTATGTCATGTGCCTCAAAAAGCAAATTTCGACTTGTAATGTGGCCTGTTCTACTTGTAACGCGTCTGTTTCTGACCTATTCCTCAGGGCACAATTCATACGAGGAATTAGGGATTCTTCCATAAGGGAGAACCTTCTTCAACAGAAGGATCTAACTTTTGACTCTGCTGTAACACGAGCTTTAGCGATTGAAGCTTCAAAGCTGAATTCCAATGCCATAGACGAGTTTTCGCAGCAGTCACAACCGTCTTACAGCAACGTAAATGTCAACAAGTTGGCAGGACATTCGAAAAGGCACCGATCGTCAGCTAGATTCAACCATCGTTCGTCAGGCGAGAGCAGCAGGCGTTCTTCCGACAGCAGTCGCAACAGCTCAATTTCTTCTGCTACACTACAAGGACATTATCGGCGCAAAGAACATGTTGATTTAATTGCTCTTGGCTTGAATGGCGTTTGTCTTCGGTGTGGCAAGAACAATCACACGTCACATCAATGCAGACTGCACAGATCTCGAGTCCGCTGTAATGCCTGTAACAAAAAGGGCCACATTTCGAAGGTATGTATCAAGTCCCTACTGTCTAAACAAAGTGGTTCAAAATCAATCAAACAATTAAATCAAGATAATGATAACCAGTCCGTGGAGTCAGACGTTGATGATATTTATGGCGTAGGTCAAATTGGAAACATTCATGACATACACCTTCCAGACACTGATAAGTTTATAACGACAGTTCTTATTAATAACCGGCCCCAAAAGTTCGAAGTTGATTCAGGTTGCGCCCACACTCTACTTCCTAGAGGAGACTTAAAGCGTTTAAACATTTCAATGGACACTATAACACCAACATCTGTCAAATTTCGCTCTTACACAGGGGAGCTACTATCTCCGCTGGGCATTGCTTCAGTAAGAGTCAAAAGCAATGGGACATCAACCGCCGAACAGTTATTTGTTGTTCCTGACGGATACAGTCCTCTTTTGGGTCGAACATGGATACGACACTTGCAAATCAACCTAAGTAAGAAGAAATCAGAAAAGGATCGAAATCATCCACAGAAGATACATGTGTCAGAAAAAGCTAGCTGGAAAAAGTCTTCCACCAAAAAGAAAGAATTTAGTGAAAACACTAACAGTTATTCGTCTACCTGTCATTCATCCACCAGTCATGCATCAACCAGTCATCAACCAGACACAAGTACATCTGTATATTATCGACCAACACCTTCATGACAACATTCATCAAGACAGATCAAACGACCGACACGAATGACACGATACACGCCTTGAACACTTCCTCAGTGCGGAAGAATCTGTTATATATTTTCTATTTGCATTCCTCAACAATCATATGTTATTTTAAATATTTATTATTCCTGATGTTTTTACTATTGTGATTATAAAAACATTGTTCTCAATACAAGACTCTTTTACAACACCATCTTGAAATAATTTATTCTATACTAATTATCAAATATTACTTCAAGTATTTTAAAGGTGGTAAGGGGGAATTATAAGTGGCGCTGATTCAGGTGTTCGCTTAACTCTGAAAAATTCCTAGAACCGGCCCTGGGTGATTCAGGCATAAATAAATTGGATGCTGCATGCAAAAACCACGATATAGCATACTCAAGATCGAACTATAAAAAATATACACAGATACCCTTTTGGTGGTCGTGCAAACTTAGTGCATTTTATGATTTTGAAAATTTTTAGTGTCCCCAAAAAAAGAGGGATTATGGGCTCAACTGGATATTACTCTCTATATAAGATATATTAACCTTTAAACATTACCTATTTAATTTTAAACAGTATGATTTAAATATGGCATTCTGTTAGTTACGTTTTTTTTTTTACCCGACCTTATGACAGTGTGTATCTGGATCCGGATCCGAATTTTTCAAGATCCGGTACCGACATTTTCTTGGATCCGCCCATCACTACTGGATGTAGTTATTTACATCTACTATGTGTGTGGTTGTAGGTCCGACGCAAGATTTGGACGTGTTTTGAACACTCTATCATTGATCACACAGACCTCATGTTGGATCGACACCTAGACCAGATACTGATGTGTGCAGTCTACGTCATATGCAAGGTAATCAAATCAAATACTATTTTTTTCAACATAAATTGATGTTATCTCTGGATTTATAAAAAATATTTTGATTACAAAATCCTATCATGTGATCTTGATCTCTCTTTACTGCACTATTATAGAAGAAATAGAAACATCAAGAATGTAGTATATAGGTAGATTTATTAAAACCATTTAAATTACATTCCTAATACACAAACTTATGACAACAGATACAATGTCATCAGGGTACCAAACATTAAATGCTTAAAACCCCTTCCTACTTATAATATGAACAATAAACACTAAAACCTTAGGACAATGAAGTAAAATGATTATTCTAAGTACAATAAACCAGTAAAAAATAATTATTAGAATATCCAAAATAATCAATAAAAAATTAGATTAAGTATCACAATTTAATTAGAAGATGTTCATTTTAATTGTAGCAACTTCTGTATCCAATAGTCAATGATTGTAGGCTCCAAAACCTAGATTGGAGTGAGTAAGTGGCTCATTTGGTGACAAACTGCAGCAGTTCCCTCACTGTGTCACTTCTAATATTTATTTATCATTATGGTTTATTTTTTTACTGCTCACGTACCACACACACACAGTCCTGAGTCCTTTGTGGATGTGAAAATGCAAGGCTAAGAAAACCCACCATACTGAGTAACAATTTGTTCCTATGTGTGACATTGTTCAGATTGAGGGGCTGGACAAGCCATTTACGGAGGTCATGAAATGCTACAGACTACAACCCCAGGCTGGCAGTCATGTCTACCGCAGTGTCCTGTTGTATAACAGACCACGGACTGGACAACGGACCAACAACAACAACTGCTCTGACAATGGTGAGTGAACTCCGCAAATAAGTGACTTACTAAGGGTTTGCAGGTTCTCAATATTTTTGAGTTGGGTCAACAGTTGGCGCGAGGGATGGTTAAATAATTTTTATAATGATGCCTGTGTACTTTTTGACTACTTTGATTTTTATTTATTTATTTTCATTATTTAACTAAACCCATGTTTGTTGAATACAAAACACCAATCAAATTTCAGAAGTGTTCAAACTTTGACCAATGACTCATTTAGTGCAACATTGAAGCACCAAATTGGATTATCAAGTGTCATGTATACATAGTTTAATATGGTGGTCTTCCAGTATTGTCTTGTACATTGTAAATAGCTCTTGTTAAAAGTAAACACGTTTTTGTGTTTGCCAAAGGACAAGAGCCAGCAAGCGCTTCTGTGGAAGTGTTAAATGAGTCGGAAAACAGATGTGACATCATAAAGTTCTACAACTCAGTTTACGTGCTGAAACTGCAAAACTTTGTGAGGAAATTCACCAACGGGAACAATCAGGTTGGTGTAATCTATTGATAAATTTAAGAAGTAACGAACGAAACTCTAAGTAACTTAATTCTATTTACTTCAAAGGCGACATTTTAGTCTGGTCATAGTCTAAAAATGCAAGTAAATGTACCAAAAATAACATAAAATGAATTATTAAAAATACCCTCCTCGCAGCAAACCTGCACACTAAGCAGATTTCCATTTACCTGGCTGGATTTCTACTAGTGATGGTCGGATCCGGATATCAGACTACCGGATCCGCCGGATCCGAGCTAGAACCGGCACCGGATCGGATCCAAAAAATTCCGGATCTTGGGCTTGATCCGGTTTTGATGGATCCGATTTATTCAAATTTTTTCCCGATTTTTTTCCTAACACAAAGCTGCCTGTATCACTGTACAACCCCGATTTTTTTACCAACACAAAGCAGTCTGTATCACTGTACAACCCCGATTTGTTTACTAAACACAAAGCTGTCTGTATCACTGTACAACCCTGATTTTTTTACTAACACAAAGCAGTCTTTATCACTGTACAACCCCGATTTTTTTACTAACACAAAGCTGTCTGTATCCATGTACAAGGCCGTTTTTTCTCTTGATGCAAACAACTTGTATGGCAAGGCCATGTCTCAGTGTTTGCCTCTTGATGCAAATAACTTATATGGCAAGGCCATGTCTCAGTGTTTGTCTTTTGATGCAAATAACTTATATGGCAAGGCCATGACTCAGTGGTCTTTTGATATCCCGTTAGTATTTCAATCTCACCCGATGCTTCGTGATAAAAAATAATAAAAGTATGATTTAAATTGGCATTCTGTTAATTATGTTTTTTTTATCCCGCCCTTATGACAGTGTGTATCTGGATCCGGATCCGAAGATCCGGATCCGAATTTTTCAATTCGCTTATATTCCCTATATAGGAAATTCGCTAATAAAATAAAATAAGTTAGCTATAAAGTCTTGAGCAATCAAGTTAAACCATTTAAATTGAAATCATAATATTGTGACACTACAATTGTTTATACCTTCTAATATAATTAGGACTACAAAGCCTTTTTTTCATTGTAATGAAACAGGGCTAAGGATTTTAGATTTCTGACTAATAATTCGATCTGTGTGGTAGAACGGTAACCTGACGCTGTCACCGCTGCCAGTGTCGCGCGGTGTGCCGATGTCTCCCAGACGCAGGGTGTCTGACAATCATGCAGTGTTTATCCGACCTCTCATCTCGTCTGAGCCCAACGTGTTTCCTCCCTCTCCCACACGACCACTCAGCTACTGCTTCAGCCGCAGCCCGGCCAAGGTAAGTCTTAGTGAATGGAGGGAATAGATTTGTGGGCCAGTTTACTTAAGCTTGTCTCTTCCAAAGTTATATGGTCTAATTGCCATTAAACTGGTGGGTGCATTTAAAAAACCTTAACTGTGAGAATTTTTTTACAGCATAGTTAACTCATAAAATAAATTGCTTACAGAGAGATACGCAAAACTTCAAGATGGATGGAAACAGTTTAAACTACTATCTTTGGCTATTGCCAGAACTAGACATTCCATGGTGGGTTACAGTTGTTGCCAGCTTTTTAATCAAAATGGATTTAGTTTAATTAACCCACCGACAAGTGTGCTGATATAAATTGCTGATTTAATGTAGAATTTTCAGGGCTGTGCGAATCCAGAAATTTTGGTTCGAATCCGAATCCGAATCATATCTGTACAGATTTTATCGAATCCGGATCGAATCCGAATATTTTAATTAATCCCGAGTCGAATCTGGGTCGAATCCGAATCTCAAATTTACAGCCATTATCGAACCTGGATCGAATCCGAATCTGAAATTTAAAGCTGTTATCGAATCCGAATATTTAAACCTGTTCAGAGTCGAATCCAAATCCGAGGAAAGTCAGCAGTACCAATTTTCACATTTTTAGACCACATTTTCTGGGGCTGAAATAACTTAGGGAATTGCCTAAAAAAATTCTTGAAATGGGCCAAATAAAAAAGTTATAAAATTTAGCCTACCTATTTGAAGTTTTGAAACTAAAAAATTGGGCATAAGTTAGGCATACCACCTAGGCCTAAGTTACTCGCTAAAAGTGATGGACTACCAATTTGTGTAGTCTAAAACATAGGCCCAGCCTATTATACACCTCGGTAATTAATCCTCCACACAAGCCTATGTCTGCATTACTACAGCAAATCGGAGTGCACAAGTAGTTTTTTAGTGTCTAAAAAATTATATTGAAAATTATATTCAATCAGAATCTAGTAAATTTGAATATCGAATCCCAACTCGGATCTATTTCCAAGAAATTCGAATATCGAATCCGAATCCGGATCTCTTACCAGTAAATTCGAATATCGATTCCGAATCTGAATCCAGTTAGAAACAGTAGATTCGTTCTCGAATCCAAATCGAATCTCTAAAAAGATTCGGATTCGATTCGTTTTTCGAACTATTCGCACAGCCCTGAGAATTTTAGACTACAACACTAACACTCTCATTGAGCAGTGCATTCAACCATGTTCTTCTTGGATAAAAATAGATGCTACCTATGGTCCTGTCTAGCAATTGATGGGATGTCTACTTCACCATCTTTTTAATAGTCTATACTACTAACGAGTTAAAAGAAACCCCCGTTGAATCCTTTTGCCCTTATTAGTTTTTACTACGTTAACAAATAAATAAAAGAATGTGATTGGGTAAACATTTTTTTTTACCAACAGGATCTGCGAGCCATCAACTGCATGTTGGGTGTGCGGCGGGTTGGCAAACGACTGTTGACAGACGACGCAACAGACGACGAAGCTGCAGCACCGGTGAAACAACCAAACCTTTTTACCAACAAGCTACAAGACCTGCTTGTCGACCGAAGAATGGCCAAGGGACAAGACAGTGCTTGAATCGCATTCATCACAAGGAAGTAAACACTTGTTACTTTCTAAGATTCTGTCCAATCAGCGACTTAGGCACTTTTGTTAAGAGTGGCAAGGAAGTATAAATCACTGATTTAATCGAGTTCAGATTATTTTTAACAAGCGCTAATAAATTCTGTTAACTCTTCCTTATCACCAGCCAAATTGCAATGTGTCTAAGTTGTATTTCTGCTGCTTTTACGCTTTGAATTTAATTGTAGCAAAAAATGATCTCATGACTTTGAAAAAAAGGAAACATTTTATCTATACAGACAAGGTGTTGCCAGTTTTCTAAACAATTTTTAAGGTAGTTAAGTGAGTTTCTCGTAGAGTGTGTTATTTTTAAACAAATATATTTTTTTTCACAAAGTGATAGTCAATGGGTTAAAACAAGTTGCCTTCTCAGTTTTGTAACTCTAAAAATTCAATGTACAAAAGAAAGAACGTTATTTTACAGTGGCACACTCTGCCAACAGCTCAAACTAAGTTCATTTGTTCTTTTAACCTTGGAACAGATGTAATTTAAGTTCTTCGTTTTAGGTTTTTTGTGGGTCCAATATTATTTTTAAGGCGGCTCCAGAAATGTGCCATTTGCTAAGCACCGAGCAGCGACTCGCCAAATCGCGAGTAGTGTGGATAGGTGTATTCCAGAAATTGTGTTGATCGGAAAACAACACATGTTTGTAGACGTCTACTCGTTAATCGGTATATAGCAAGATAATTAGATCGCCGAATGACAAATATTTCGTGCTTGGCGACTGGTGCATGTATGGAGCCGCCTTTATGACCAGTGAGCCCGATTTATATCTTAAAGCACGATTTTGTGCTGGATTGTTTACTGCAATAAAGATAACTTTACGTTACATATATCTTACGTTAACTTTACGTTTATAATTTAGAAGACTGTAAAATCACTTTATCTGATAAGGTGTTCTATTTATTCTTGGAAATGTTTTTGTTGTGTTGTTGTTTACTTTGTTAAACATATTTATTAGATAATTTTCCTTGTCATTTAGCAGGTGATTTCTATTTTGTTCTAAATAATTATAAATACTATTGAAATATTCTTGGTGTAAGGTGTTCACATATTATATTTTGTAGGCTTTACACTTTAGACCAATATTGTATTATTTCAATTATGTTCATAATATCTTTCAACTAGTAATTAATTAATTGTGTTAGGATCATGGCCAATTTGGTTTCCTTGTGAGGCACATAAATGATGTATTATAAAAATACTATTATTGTGAGTGAGGTAAACCTGTAAATTAAATCCTACAGGTCCAGTCGCCCATTATGTCTTCAACAAAATTTAGATATTATATATTGTAAATATTTATATGTTGTACATCTTAAAGTAAAATTTATTTTCTTTACAAATTTTCTAATTAGTCATTTTTGGGCCATAACAAATGGTTCTATAAGAACACCCCATGGGTCGGACCGATCATGCTGGTTCGCGAACTTGTTAGAATATACGTAGGTTTACACGATTGTACCAAATTTCATCGAAATCGGATCATTTTTGCTCGAGTTATCGTGCTAACGGACACACACACACACACACACACATATATATATACATATATGAATTTGAACGGATGGTGTTTTTGGCTTCTAGGGACATCAAAATGAAAAAGTAAATCGGTCCCGGGTCCAAGTCTTATCATGAGACCTACGATAATAGCTTATTCCCTATATGGGAAATTCGCAAAAAAATAATTTTACCCCCTTAAACTCCTCATAAAAACTCATTCCTGTTATTAGTCCACTGTCAAATGTTCACCCGTGTGCTTCTTGATGAGGCAGGTGTGGGAGTAGTCTTAATCTCTTTGTTTGACCTTTGAGAAATACAATTTCGATGGTGGCACTCTTGAAAATGGTGTGTTTGAATGCTGTGGGTAAAAAAACAAAATTGCCGACATTTAAAATGTTTAAAGTCGAATTCCATGAAAACCAGTTATTAAAACAACATTTTGCAACACATTATTTTAAAGTCCTTTTTATAACAAATTGAATGACACTTTATGTGCGAAAATTTAAGAATAAATAAAAATGTTGTGTAACTTTTATTATTAATTGTAATTTTCAAAATGGCAGTCATTTTAAAATCACAAAGTTAAATTCCATAGAAACTAGTGACAAAAACATTATAAAAGTAACATAACTTTCTTTTTAATTTATTATCCGATTTTCGCAAATAAATTGTCGTTCGATTTGTAATAAAAAGGACTACATATATTGTGTTTCAAAGTTTTGTTTTAATTGCTGGTTTTCATGGAATTTGACTTTAAAAAAATTTTAATAGCCGCCGTTTTGAAATTTGATGAACCTGATCAAAGATTTTTTTGGAGAATGTTTATAGTTGTAGACTTAAAGATTATACCAAGTTTCATAAAAATATCTCCAAGGGGCAAAGAGTGTCACTTCAACCTTCCCTCGTAGTCATTTTCATAGAGCTTGGGTCGAAAAGAGTCACTTTCCGCCCTAGTGACTAATTAAACTTTTAGATCATTTCTGTTTACATTAATTTGCTTTTGATTTTACTTCAGTATAATGAAAATTTAATTTCTATGAAGTATTTTTGTTCATTAGATGATATTTTGTAAAACATATGACACCTTAAACGTTGAAATTGGTTCACAAGTAAGGTAGTGTTAAAAAAAAACGGCTTCAGGTATTATAGATATAAATTATGTTCAGTTTTACATAAATTATGGATTCAGACGGCATTGGATAGTAAATCACATTGCTAGTTGAAATTAAACCAGAAGCTGTGGTTATTAAAGCTTTAAAAATCAAATGTTTTGATTTCAGAAAAAATGTAACAAATTTACCTCCTATATGGTTAATGATAGAAATTAACAACCACATAAAATGGAAACCTATGGAGTTTGTATTTCACACAAACACATACAGCAACTTCTTGAAATTTCATGGCACACACAAAGGCCCCCCTGGACACACATTAATTTTTACTTTCTCCCCCTATACCATCGTAGCCTAGATGGAGAAAGTATTGTTTTTGTCAAAATTTTCGAGTTTGGATGGATATCTCCGTTTTGGGTCCCCCTGAACCCAAAATATTGTTTTCAAAGTGATGTCTGTATGTGTGGATGTGTACTGATACAGACCACAACTAACGGTAGTTTGATTTTGATGAAATTTGGTATGTAGGTACTAATCCATGGGATTTCAAGAAGTTTTTCCTTTTTTTTAATATTGATTTTTAATGATTATTTTCCCACAAAAACCCATAAAATGGGGGAAAAGTTGTATTTTTTTGAAAATTGACCTAACGATTTTGATAAAAATTTAATATGTTATGGTCCTTTAAATTATGAACAAAATGGTGCAACTCCCATTGCTGTAAAAGTTATGGTTCAAAATTTATTGCAACTTATGTTATTTTCTCATAAAAAAAGAAAATCAGTTTCCGCCAGAGTATCAAATTTCCTCCTGGCCATTAGTGGCTGACCCATGATAAAGGTTGTTGACAAGCTAATGTGAGAAAGTATGTGTTAGATTGCTGATACCATTTATTATACATAGAGATTCTATAGGTCTACCTATGCTATAAATGTTAAATTGCATTCATTTTAATTCTACAGTTTTTATTTTATTTTATTAAGATGGCGAATCATATTTTAAATTATGCATATGATATATGATTTGACAACTTGTAAATATTTATAACATAATGTTCTCTTGTGTAATAAAATTTTTAATCGTTATTACTCAGGTTAAATCTTTTGATTCCTTTTATGAGCTTTTATATTAAGACGAGTAGGTAATAAGAAAATTTTCAAATGAGTCTTTTTCAAGAATCAAGAATTTTATTGTCGTTAAGCACATGGAAATAGACAAAGTCAAATCTATACTTATTTAATACGCAAGCAGATTTTTTGTGACAGTTACTACTCCGAAACTACTGAACCGATTGCCACGTTTTTGGTGTCATTGGAAAGAGCGTAACGTGAAGTTGTGCAGGAAACTTTTTTCATGGGGAAATAATTAGAGAGTGAGGCCCTGGGGCCCTTTAAAGTTTCGTATTTCTCTATAAGATTAACATGGGACACAAACATTGTTATGAAACTCCAGCTGTTGTCAGAAATGCTGTTCTGCTATTTATTTAATTTAATTTGTTTACAAGGAAAATTGTTTCTTAGTGCCATGTGGTCAATAAGTTATACTTTTGCATATATTTTAAATGATATACACTATATAAAATGATGGTACTGATGGTACTGTAATACATTAAGAGATATTCATTTAAATAATCAATAAGTACGATTGAGCCTTTGCCTATATGTTTCCTGGTAAGTGTGTTGTATTTTCCTTATAGTATATTTTTATTAGTATCTTAAAGTAAAACCAAATTATTCTTTTCTGCATTCTCACCCCGTAGCGAAGCACGGGCAGAGCAACTAGTACAGTATTATAAGACATTACATGTGCAAAATGGACAAATATGAAATAATAAATCAACAGACATATAGATATAGACACTGAAAAAACAGCTACAAGTACAAAATCAATATCTAAATGAGCTTTGTACTGAACTAACTTAATTCACTCAAATGTGGAAAAAATTTACAATTTTGCTGTGCAAGACTAAATATATATTTTTAATCGTAGATTATCAGAAACTATTGTTTTAGCGAATTCCCCATGTTGGGAAAGCTATTACCGTAGGTCTCGTGGTGACACCTGGGAACGATTTGTTTTGTTTTGAGGTCTCCACAGGCCAAAATCATTCTTATTCCTGTTTTTTTTTTTTTTTTTTTTGTGAAACAATGTATTGACAAAATAATGGGAGAAAGCATTTTTGTGTCAGATTGCTGATCGTTTATTCAATTTTACTAGGAAAGTAAAATAAACGAACAAACACCAACATCAAAATGCAAGATGTTTTATCTATCTTAAATCTTTAACATTTACAAGAATAATAATACAATTAGGCCTATAACTTAGTTTTCTGAAATCTTCAATTTAGGTGGTATTAATGTTCACCTGACAAAATGTCTTGTTGATTTGGAATTCCTCACAGCTGCTTCATATAACTTCCCTGAAATCAAAAGGTTATTTTAAAACAGTTTATGGGATGGCTCCACTGGCTGTATTGTGCTGGAGTTTTGATGGACTACACACAACAGTTGAGTGGTTTCATAAGCAACAGAATACAGACCACAATCTGCAGTGTTGTCGCATGCGCCGTGGCTTCACTAGCAGTCGAGTGTACCCTGCACCTGTCATGCCGCAAATTAATATGATTAATGATATTTTTTTGTACAATCCCGAGTATTATATTTGATGTATCATGTTTAAAAAGTTGTTTAAACATTACTATTATATTTTGCCACAGTATTTTAATCAATTGGATTTATTTTTTTTTTATTAAGTAAAAAAAAATAAAGATAGTCGTTGTCACAGCCAAAAATCCCGTTTTAATCCCGCTCAAGGTCTTAAAATCCCGTTTCGGGAAAATAATTCCGCAAATGGATTTGAAACACTGTTTCCAGTCACACTTTCTAGATTGAAAACTAACAGCAAGTGGAGATGTGGCCTTAGAGCTAATGAGATAAACCTAGCCTATGTAAGACATTATCCCAAATAATTTCTAAAGAATTAATATTTTGTGTTAAAGAACAAAAGTTGAGTTGACAAAGGAAGGAATTATGCAACCAGAGTAGAAACAAAATTAATAATAAATAATTATAGTTTAGTTTTGACTCAAATAAAGATTACCAAGTTTCTTGTCAGCCATTTTCCCATTTTCTTCCATGGATAAAGCTTGACGATTTTTTTCCTGGAACCAGTTTGTAAGCCTACATGAGTAATGAAATTACAACAAGTTTGTTCTGTTAACAAAACAGATGTAGCCTACGTACAGTATCATTTTTTCAGAAGTTGGAACTTTGACATGAGATGTTAATCAAACTATCTCTTGTAAGAAATTTCACATTCTTCAAAATAATCCAAGCTTTCTTTTGTGCCATCAATAACCTTTATCCAGACTGAAAATGATAGTTGTTTGTTTTTGTCACACTCGTTCATTTCAAACGAGATATTAGTTTCTTCTGATATAGCCAAAACTCCATTGCTAGTTGCAATACTGAACGTTATCCCTTTGTGCATAAACGGATAGTTCCAAGAGAGTTTTAACTGTTGATCATAACATATACAACTTACATTGAACACAGGTGGAGGGAAATACCACCTCTCTATTTCATACTGTAATTTCTGTTTTGTTATTGTTTGTTTGGATGAATCATAATCAGTTTGTTTGGAAACAAAGCTGTGAAACATAGTGAAGAAGCTTTCATCGACTATCGTATCTTGAAACATTCTGAATAAATATACTGGATTATGACAGCACTCTACAGGCGGTACAGTTTTAACTTTTATTATTTCTTCCTGTTTAGTTTTTTCCAGGTGGAGAATTCCTCCATGCAGTGGTGGATATTCAGGATGAGTTATAGTGTTGGACTCGTTCATGTTCACCCATGATTCATAATTGAAGTAGATATGTTTGTTTTGACACAGAGCCCGCAAAGGAGATACAAAGTTAGGTTGTATTCCAAAAGGGAAAAGTTCTATGATACGGGATCCTCGCGGCATGAATATGGCTAAAATCATGGCCGATCCATGCATACCGACTAAAAGCTGAGACTGGTGTAGATAATTGATTATGCTTGTGGAGTTATTTGTTGACAGGTCCAAATTTATTATTGAAAAGTTTTTTTTTAATGTTGACTCGGCAATGTATTCCATACTATCTTGCATAGCAGCCTCATTTATTATTTTACGGTTAAGTTTTCGACTAAATAATAATATTGGTAAAATATCCGAATGGTCCAAGTTTATTTCTCTTTTCACCCCGAACTGCTTCTTGATAAAATCACTGAATTCTGCCAAGATGAAGCCATTTATATTACTTTCTAGGACTGGCCCTTGAGTGGTTTTAAATCCGTATTGAAACCAAATGCTTGAATTTGACAAACCGAAATATCCTTTTTTAATACACAATGGGTTCTTTAATTTGCCAAGGATGATTGGTGTATGGATAGAAAAGTGCTTGTACCATTCATAATATGGTTCATAATCGTTTGGACTGTCCATCAGCAATAATTGATAAGTTGATGAACACAATGAAATATTTCCTGAGCACAACTCTTTATATGTTACGAAGAGTGGTAACAAGTCGTCATGAATAACATGCATTATATTGTCTGGTTTAAATCGTTTTAAAATAAATGAGTTCATATTTGCTACAGTAAAGTTTTCTTTAAGTAAATGATGAGTGGATTTGATCAGTATAAGTTTCAAATATAATCCACTGTGGTTTTGAACTGTTGACAGGCTTAATTTTTTTAGATCATCAACTCCAGATATTACAGAAAACTCATTAATTAAAAAGAAAAAGTGCCCCTTGAATTTAGGAATGTAATATAGATTGTTGAACTTGCAGAACTTGGTACTATCAAACCTGATGTTGCACCAAATGGAAGAACCTAAATTCTCTGCCGCAATCATATCCGTATTAAAACCCTCAGGGGGGTATAATTGGTCCATAGTTGTAGGCGTTGAATTATATGAGCCTAAATGGTTGTTCGAGAATATAGCAATTATAAATCCAATAACCGAGCCCAGAGCACCACAAAATAATTTATAAGAACTTGAATTCATGAGGTTTAAAGTTATTTAACTAAAACACACACTGGACACTGGAGTTTAGCAAGTAATTCAGTTTAATCGAAGAAATCTCGATTAGTAATAAAATTGGAATAACTTGAGGCTTTAATATTTCACGAATTCAATCATAAACAAAGTAGAACCAATTACTAGGTTGTAAAAATAAGGTTATGTTTTGATTATTCTAGTGACTTGACACTTGACAGTGACAGTTTGATTTCACTTCACTTCACCCACACTACGAGCTACTTCTACTTCTTATGCTGCTACTGATTTTTCAGTCCAACGGCAGTGGAACAAAATCACTATTACTACTAACATAGATAAAACATACTGCTACTAACCAACCACATGTAAATTTTGAAGCTCGTTTTTCGTGTCTAGTTCATGTCCAGTAACACTAGGCGTTAGTGTCGATTAAATTTAGTTTTTATTATTTTAGAGTTAATTTCATGATTTGTAGGCGGCCGTGGCTAAAGGCAGCCGTGCTCTAGTACACATTGAGTATTAGAGGTGGCTATCGGTGGCTATGCGTGATCACAAAGGCCGTGAATGCAAAGACGCCCAACGCAGATTCTTTTAGCGAATTTCCCATATAGGGAATAAGCTATTACCGTAGTACTCATGGTAAGACCTGGACGTGGGACCGATTTTTTTTTCGTTTTGAGGTCCCTAGAGGCCAAAAACACCATCCGTTCAAATTCATATATATATATATATATATTTATATATATATTTATATATATATTTATATATATATTTATATATATATATATATGTGTCCGTTAGCACGATAACTCGAGCAAAAATGATCCGATTTTGATGAAATTTGGTACAAACGTGTAAACCTACGTTTATTCGAACGAGTTCGCGATCCAGCATGATCGGACCATGGGAACGGGGGTTTACGGGGGGTTTTATGGGGTAAAAATAGGTTTTTCCCATTTTTGACCCAAAAAACATAAAATTTAGCAATTTATTTCCAAACCATTTTGTAGAGCTTAAAAAAACAAATAATTTAGTATATTGAAGTGTTATTATGCGCCTAATGGTTACAGAGAAAATTCCAAAAAATTGTAAATTTAAAATTCCCATGTTATTCTTATGGAGAATAAGTAAACTGTTGTAGTTAGCTTGTTTATGAACATATTTTGATCAAATTTGGAAAATGTTTTTATTTCTTACTAACTATTAACATTTACAAAAAAAACAGTTTTACCCTCCCTGATGCAGCAAACCTAAGTACTTGTTAAACTAATTCTATTTAAATTTGGAATAAATGTTATATTTTTAAGTAGACATTTCAGTGTAAATCCAATCAGTCAAATGGAAATTCGCTTAGTCTGCAGGTTTGCTGCGGCGGGGGTATTTTGTGTTTTGTGTTCGTGTTGGCAAGATTGGCAAACGCCAAACGCTTTTCGGCTGTTCTTTTTGTTCTGTTCTGGTTTCTGCTGGGCTGGACTGGACAGAACAGAACAGACGACCTTTCATTCCTTTGAAGGTTCCCAGGTTATAAGTCGTATCAAAATTTTCTATTTCATTATTTAAAACACAAAATGCCTGTCGGACTTATGGCGCGCGTTGGCAAAAAACACGTTGATCTACTGACTAAGTGGTAAGTAAATCTTTGCTGGGAATCGAATAGTTATAAGTTATCTTGTAGACTATTTTTTTATTATTTTTCAGTGTGATTAGCCTCTGAATCGAATTGGCCCAAATAGGCCTAGCCTAAATGTGGCCAAAAAATGCTCTTATTTTGCAACTTGTTATCTATAATCTACATCAGACCACCAAATTTTATGTCGTCTGATCACTGACTTAGGTAACTTAGCCTAGGCCTAGTTAAGTTAGGCCTTGGCCTACTCAATAACAGCAGTGTAAGCAAGGCTAAGATTCTGGTAGAGCTAAATTTACTCCTTGACAGGTGATACACATGAACATAGGCTAGATTTAAGTTCTCCAGTTAAAAGTCCGGTAACTATGCAGGGTAGAGTGGGGGAATTGGGACCCATGTTTTTATTTTTTTCAATTATATTTTTATTGTCAGAAAAAATCAAAATATGAGCCTGCACAAGGTTTCCAACTGTAATTTGTCTTCTTATCACATTGTTTTTCATTTTTTTAAATACATTTTACTATGAAAAAAAAATAAATATTAATTTGGAACCCAATTACCCCACATGGGGTAATTGGGACCTATGCTTATAAACCCATAAGCACCTAATATTAATTTGTGGGGGTAATAGGGTTCTGAAAATGAAAACATAATAAACAAAATGCAACATACTTTTATTGAAAAAATTTTTTTTTTTAGGACATTAGAACGGTTCAAGCTATTTTTTCCAAAACATTACACTTTTTTCTAAATAAAATGGGAAAAATTAACCAGAGCAGATAACAGCCAGAAAATATAGATTTAAACTGTTAAAGACATGTATAGTTAAATAAAAAAAAACTACAAGTATATTTTATGTCGAACTTCTTCTCTGGTCATATGCAAACTTTCCGGAATTTTGCTTTTTCAGCCGAAAGAATTTCTAATAAATGGTTGTTATCAGTCCAATTATAAGTTAAAACAGGCCAATTATGGGCTTAGCTCACTCTTTTAGGCCCTATTTTTTTATCAAGTGGTTGTAAAATAAATTTTCCTACAGTCACCCGACAAAGTTGGCTTCCTTGTACTGTTTATAGTACAGAAAGCTGCTAATTGCTGCATATTTATACTTTGCCGTACGGTTTATACTTTGCCGTACGGTTTATACTTTGCCGCACATCAGGATTCCAACGAAACAACACAAAACAGCGTGGTTCCATTATGCACGTAATCCGTGTACGGTTGGAAATAGGTTGGCAACACTTAAAGATAATTATACTATGAGCAGCTGATTGACTATTATAACTACGATTTAACCTGTCATTTCGTGTTTATAGTTTCGGTATTTCTGAACTTTCTGGACTTTTCTTTTAAACGTTTTTAAAACCTTCCTACGATCTTAATAAACAAGGAAATACCTTTTAAGCATTTTTTTTAGGCGCGGAAACCACTTCAAATTACAAAAACATACGGAACTATATTCTCAAAACGCGGAGCACATTTCTTGCGGAGGAAAAATAGCGGAGTAATATGGACCGCGGGTACTACTTTCTCTAGGGCACCATTTGTGTTGCCAGCTGAACCTAAAAACGTGTTGCATAGTGTTTGAAAGACTAATTATTTAAATGCTTTATAGTGACTGTAGGAAAAATATAATGTGTAACACGAGTGAAAAAGGCCTTTGCTGCACTCGAGATCATTCCACACTCGCCTGCGGCTCATGCGTAAACATTGCTCTCGTGTGCAGCAAAGTGCCACTTTCACCACTAGTTACACAAATAACTATTTTCACCTTTCTGTACATCTGTGATTCCAAACCGATGTAACCACGCGATGAGACTGGTTCCCTATTACTCCATGCTGGGGTAATTGGGACCTACTTCAAAATTCTGTTTTTACACATAATACATGATAATCACCACTGCAGCCACATTTAATTATTGATTAATTATATGTGGGATTAATTATAATATTAATATTAATTATATGTGGGATAGAAAAATATGGGTCCCATTTCCCCACACCGGGGTAATTGGGACCCATTTTAAAAAAAATTTATAAAATTAATTTATAATTTTTTTTTAAATTTTAAAGCCCTAACAAACTATTGCTTAAACCTTAAATGTGTCAAAAAATACATTTTGGTATGATTATTAATTCATATAATATATAAAAAATAGCTCGAAATACTACCACGCTGAAGTTTTGCCATATGTTTAACATTCGGGAAAAAACACGGCTTAATTTTTTTATTTTTTTATACATTAAACACAAGATTACAATTATCCAATAATTTTTGATGAAACCCCTTTAGAATGCCTAAACTTTAACGTATTTACAATTTTGTTAAAAAAATAAATAATACAAAATTTAAAAATTTTAAAAAATAGCTCCCAATTACCCCCGGGTCCCAATTCCCCCACTCTACCCCATTTTAGGGTTTGCACGCGATTTTTGAAAAAAAATTTTCATCCTAGGCCTAAGTATTTGAAATTTAACGCTGATTCCGAAAATGACGTTATTTTCCCGCGGAAAATAACCATTAAGGTCGATTCACACATATCAGTCATGGCACGTCGCAGTCCAGTCACTTCAGGCACGTCACAGTTAACAAAAATATTCTTTAATGGATTTTCTATCGCGCTATCTACACTCATCCGTTGCAGTCCCGTCAGTCTCATCCGTCAGTCAATTTCAGATTTCTTTCCAACGATATTTTTTGATTGTTCGGACGCCTGACGGAACTGTTGGAGGTTAGAAAATAGTGTTATTGTTATTTAAATTGTTGTGTTTATGTAACAATCAACAAGATGGAAAATGATAATTTGAGAGAATTTAGGTTTATAATTAGAAATTTTGAACTTACTGTAAATATTAGAGACGGAAGATTGACTGAAACCAACTGACGGGCAGTTGACTGAGAAATTGTGGATGCAACTGAGACCGAACTGTAACTGGACTGTAACGGAACTGTGACTCGACTGATATGTGTAAATCGACCTTAACGCTGACAAACTACCAAAAATTTTTTGAATCCGACGTCAAATAAGCGAGATTTTCACGAAAACGTGATACTACCAGCAATAACTCCAACTCACTAGGGGACAGGTGGGAATCAAATAGGCTAAGCGAGATTTTCACGTAAATCTGAGATGCTATTTTGGATTTTTGTTCCAACTTTTGTCTGTGTTGAAATACCAGCTGATCATTATAATTGTTAATGTTTTAATTTAACAGGTAAAAGGGATGATACTTAGCATAACCTACCCTAACCTAACATAACCTAACCAACCTAACCTAACCAACCCAACCTAACCTAACCTAAAAAGCAACATGGCAGTGCTACTACAACAAATGAATAGGTTGGTACTGAAAAATTTCCCAGTTTCAAGGATATTTCCCAAAATTCTCCCGACTAACTAGGCTACCCATTATTTTTTACACATTAAATTACAATGATAAACCACGTTAGATGTCTCCCCCACCCAAAACCCCGAATTCCCACCTGTCCCCTAATGAGTTGGAGTTATTGCTGGTAGTTTCATGTTTTCGTGAAAATCTCGCTTATTTGACGTCGGATCCAAAAAATTCTTGCATAGTCGTGTTTGCATAGTCGTTAATATTCCGGTTAATTTGAGTACCCACATGACGTGTTTTGGTAAAAACAAATTTTTGGTCGTTTTTTCTCGTTATGGTCGTTTTCCGCGGAAAAAGAACGTCATTTTTGGAATCAGCGTTAAATTTCGAGTAGAATAAAAGAAAAAATTACAAAAATCGCGTGCAGACCCTAAAACGCATATTAACCCTTAAGAGTTATAGTACATAGAGGATACACGTGGATAAGGCATGTATAAGGCAATGACGTCACCGGGTTGTGGGAGCCTGGAACGCCATTTATTTATTTATTTATTTAACATTTAACATTAAATTTGTTTTTACCAAAACACGTCATGTGGGTACTCAAATTAACCGGAATATTAAGCAGATCACGACTATGCAACATTCCATTACCACAACGATACTATGAACAGCTAGAGTATCGGTGTTCGTTGTGTAGTGGATAAGGTGCTGAGCTGATATGCGCAAGAGATCCAGGGTTCGAATCCCATTGGTGACTTTAACTTTTTGTCAAAGATTTTGTTTTGAATACCATTTCTTCTTAACTGTACCTACATCTTTTGTTACCTACAATTTTTTGAATTTGTAATTTTTTTTATGGGCAGAATTTAATTTTTTTAGGTTAGGTTTTGACAGTAATTGCCGGATGTCTAATCCACGTCTAGGGTTGTTGCGATATCAGCAATCTATTGATATTAGATATCGATAACGATTCCAGACTAATATCGATATCACGATAATATCGAATCCAAATATCGATATCTTCAATATCGAATATCGATATTACTTTGGAGGAATCTACTTTTTAATGACTTGCATGAGCTTGTTTAGGATTTTTGATTCAAGGCGTTCTGTCAGGAAATCTTTTTTGGCAGATATTTTACTTTCACTTTAGTACCTGTTGATTGTTATTACTTTTTATTTATAAGGACCAAATAGGAAATGAAGTATGAATTTAATAATAAAAATCCAAGCGATAAACATAGTTGTTTGGAGCCTTAAACACAGTGCATTTCAAAACCAGCCTTATTTTTTGGAGTTACAATGAAAACAATAATTACCGTATATACAACAATTTAAACAAGGTTAGCACTGGTGGACTTAAGTGTAGGCTATAATCAACGGCTCTTGAGCTCTGACAACTAACAAGTGACAGCTGACAGCGCAACCAACCAAGGCCCCACTAAAACACTCCAGCAATAAAAATCAGTTTCTACTAACTTAGTTCCTTCTACCACAAAAGATATAACCAGCTATTCCCATATTAGTGTGGATTTTATCTTGTACATAACTTAACTCGATAAGAAGGTATGCACGGCCACCTTTAACTACAGGCCGCGGCCTGGTAGAATTGGCAACGTCGCGTTTCAAGTGGTGTTGTTTAGTGACAGACGTTCAATAAGATAACATGGCAGACAGATGACATCAGCTGCAGCTCATTAATTCACATTTTATTTTTAATACTTTTAATACTTTAATACTTTTCATTGAAATGGCGACCATATATTGATTTAAATTTATGAACATAAATTTATTAAAATTGAAAAGAAAACATAGAGAATGGAAAACCGAAACTATATGAATTAAAAATCTAGATCTGTACATTGCGCAGTTAATATACCGGTATCGTCATAGTCCAGTAACAAATCTTTCACAAATACACGAATACCATTAGCTGCTTCCAAACAAAAAAGCTGTTACAACACCACTTGCGACGTTGCCACTTCGAAGGCTGCGGCCTGGAGTTAAAGGCAGCCGTGAGGTATGTCGATATCACTAAAACTTTATATAAACTTAGAAAATTCAATAGGCCTATCGAGAACCGATATCGACAAAATTCTTCCGATATCACTATATTATCAAAACCCCAATATCGGAAATATCGAAACAAAAATATCGATATGCATTGATATTGATAATATCGCAATATCCCTATCCACGTCCAGTTACCTGACGCCTATCCTCTGCCTAAAAGTTAATGCTGCCTGGTTTACACGGGTCGAGTAAGTTACGGTGGGCAAGTCAGTGTGCGAGTTGTCACTCGCTCTCCAACTCGTTTGTTGTAGACTTGCAGGTGAGTCGAGTCAGAATCAGAACAGTTTTATTGCCATAATAGGCTAATACAAAAATGTACAGGACAAAAGTCACTAAAACTAAACAAGTAAAATCAGACCCATTAAAATAGAATAAAGATAGCCTACAAACTTCAAAAGGTGCACACTATTTTCATTTAAAAAATTAAAAACCCTCAAACCATGCTTACATTTTTTAAAATCATTTTCGCCCTTGACTGCATAATGATGAGAATTAAAAAGACGGATACACATGGAGAAATACTGGTTCTTATGAAAAGTGGTACGAGATAGTCAAATAGGTAAGTCAACGTTCCTTCTAAGATTGAATCTGTGGTGAGATGATTCTCTAATATGAAACATTGTCAAATTTTTATAAGAAGGACAAAGATTCAACGACAAAGAGTAACGGGCCTAAAAAGAGGTCAGTTGAGAGCGAGTAGAGTGGTTTAGTTGTAAACCGAGTTGCTAGGCCCAGTAACTAAACCCCCACCACCCAGATTTGCCCGTGAAACATCAGTTTACTGCTGTCGTCTGTCAAGTAGTCAGTATTGAGGTAGTTCAGTAAGCCTACTCCACTCCACTCGACACCTAATAGTTCAGTTGAACTTAAACAGTTGGCCTTCCCCTTTGTAGCATTGTTTTGCTGTACGTAAATCTACTTAAAAAAAAAATTCATAACTTTTTACACTTACTTTTAAAGTGTACTATCACTGTATAAGGTTAGAGGTACTGACTGCATTGAATAAACAATAACATCTTCAGACAAAATAAAATCAGCTGATTAGTTTGTAAACAAGTACGTTGAATTTCACCACAGCTGATTTAAAAAAGTTTGGGTGTTTAGTGTGAATTTTAAAAACAGTAAAAAGCTGTGCAATTTTTAAGCCATCCTAATGATCGATAATTGATAAAAAAAAAGACACTTTTGGGGTTATTTAATATTTTATTATTGTTTTAAATAATCTAAAATCGTTTAAAAATCACTTTCAAAGCGGACGGAGACTGTCGCACTGTTGTGGCAGATTTAGGCCGCATGCCTCGGCATGCACTACATCTAACCTCCAGCGGTCACGTATTACTAAAGCTGCCATAACTCAGTTAATATTCATCCAATCTTAAAAACTAAGGTGTCAATCGATTTGTAATTAAATTTTCTTGAAAAAGTTATTCTTGTAATTTTTTTGTAAACTCAACAGTTTTTGAGTAATTTAAGAAACAAAATTTAAAATGGCCGCCATTTTGTTTTTTGAATTTTAAAAATGTTCATAATTTTTTTGTAGCTTTGTCTAGTTGTCATTAATGTTTTTGAAAAGTTTCAATTTCGTATCTCTTACCATTTTTTAGAAAACAATTAATAAGCGAAAAAAACAAAATGGCGGTTGTGTGAGTAACTAAGGACTTCCGGTCAATTTAAATATGATATTTGGATTTGTTTCTTACCCAGAAACAATACCCTAAAATATCCGACACGAATTCTGAAACTCCCTGTATAGACATTCCATGTGACCTTTAAATAAAAAACCATTTTTATTTCAGGGTCCCCTCCTTAGCCTTGTTTGGGGGAGCTGCCGGAACAACGTTAGTGTACATTACAGAATGGAGAGTCATCTGTGATTACATCCCTTTCTATGGTAGCAAATTCCAAGACGAACAGTAAAGGTAAGTACTATACTTGCTACAATTTATTACACCCTTCTTGGTAGTTACACTGGCTAAGTGTTTCGTGATATACATGACACTTTTGTAAATACCGGTAGCTGTTTCTCTGCTTTTGTTATAATAGACATAGTGCTATTTATACAGTAACTTAACTGATGCAATTTCGATAATAGGCCTATTGGAACAAGGAGTTGGACATGGTTCTTAGGTTATAAGAAGACTAGACTGAATCTATTACTGCCACATAACAATTATTTTGTAACAATTTCCATGTACCTCTTCATGGTAGGAATAGGTTATGCTAAAAAGTAAATTAACTATGTCAGAAATAGTGCTTCTGTCTTTTAAAAAGTGACCAGAGGACCCATGCTGCTCCGCAACGTTGAAATAAATATCATATCCGAGAAATAATCAAATTTATGATTTTTGATTGGGTAATACATATCTTGAACTAAACAAATGATTAAATAGGTACGATTAAAGCGATAAAAGCCGACGATTAAACCCTATAAAATTCCCCCCCCTATGATACCCTAAAGACAAAGACCCTATGATACCCTATAAACTCTATGATAACGATAAAAGCCTTTAATTTACTGATTATTTTGAATATTTCAATTAAAAATACACACCTCACTTAGGTTATTAGGGAAGGTAACTTTCAACCTAATAACTTAGGTTATAAGGGAAGGTTTCGGAAACTGCTTCAATGATTTTATTGGCCAACCATCACTTGCCGATTAAATTAGTCTGTGTGTGATGTTTACACTCAGCTGAACTAACTTTTACCAGTGTTACGTTATTGTACTGACAACAGATTGTTAATGACTTTATATTTTGTTTCAGTTAAGAAGATCTCTGTAGGATTCAGTGTTCAGCCCATCTCTTCAAATTATGTTAAATTATTTTGTAAATATTAATTAATAAAAGGTCTGTAGAAAATCCCACCATTTTTGGTGTTTAACTTTTTTTCATTATATTACCAAAATCCTCCGAATCTTTTAGGAATTGTGTTGTGAATTGCAGACCACCAAATAACAATTGCATCACCCTATATGATTTTAGGGTTTCAAGCCTGCCACACAATGTTAAAACGAAAACATAGTAAATGTAAATAGTGCATTTTTAAATGTTGTATTTTTACTTTTTATTGCCAGACTACTATATTTACTTTCGAAAGTTTCGCCTTGAAACTTTGAAGGATCATGGGGGATGTCCCATTGGTAAGGACATAGAATAGATAATTTGATTACAGCAGAACCTCGATAGTTCGACACTTTGTGGACAAAAGGGGGTGTTTTATATTGAAATGTTTAACTTTAGGGAGTATATTGGACATTTACACATTGGGAGTATTTAAAACACAAAATAAAACAAATTAATTTGATGAATAACTAAACTTGACCAAAAACCTAACTTTATCAACTTACATCTCTAATGTACATTCTTTGTCTTCTTACTGTATACAATAAAAAAATAGTTTGTAACATTCTACTGCTTTTCACTTTGGATGTTAGAAAAGAATTTAAATCAATGTCATTTTTAAAGTGTTTGAGTTTTTGCATGCATGAAAACAATAAGAAGGCTCTAGTTTTTTACATTTGCGAACACGTAATCGGCCATCATCCATGTCATGTCATCATGGCCTATGGTGAACTATCAAGTTTCTACTGTACCTTTATGTGTCTACTGCTTTGTTAAACATTTCTGCCCAGGCGATTCAATACTTTCCTCATTTCCCACCTCCTCTTTATAACAAAATAATAAATGGATATAATAAAACTCACAGTTAAAATATAAAATATAACAAATTTATTACAAGTATTACAATCTCCTTGAGTACCTATATTTCATGACAATTTTCACAATGATTAAAAATATTGTGAAAAGTCTTTTCATGCGCATGGCAAGACTAGGTTGGCAACAACAATAATCAGTTCTAGGAATGTAAGAAGATTAAGCATATTATACACATTTAGCTAGCTATATTTGATGACAAATAAAAAACTTTGAGTATGATACCTACAACAGTAAACTAAACTCTGCTATATAGTATAAGGCTTGAAGGTAACTTTGGTTCTTTGCACTTCTATCTTCATGGCTTGTCAGCAATGTCTTCATCCTGAAACAAAGTCACATTCAGGATAAAGCAATTACATACAATATATTTCTGTCTAGCCACTAAATATAATTGTTTATATATTTTTTTATTTAGTGGTGTCAATAACCCAAAAGTTAGCGTCTAGTCTGAAATGTGCGAGATCTGAAGGATAATGAATGATGATGTTTCACTAGCAGCCGATAGGATTGTTTGTGTCGAATTTTTACCCTTTTAGATATTGAAGACACAGCAATTTTCCCTCCTGTTTTCAGTTGGTATTTAGATGACTTTGGTTTTTTTTGGAAACCTCTGTGATATAATTAAAACTGCTAAAGACGTCTGCAAATGTTACTTGATAATTGAAAGTTTACGTCATCTCCTCAACCACTGGATGAGGACCTTATGTTTCCACAATCAGAGAAGATGACTACAGTCGAATTTTGAATGGTAGTTTTGTTCCTTTTACATGAGTTTATTATGTTATTTTAACATCTTTATTTTTTAAATCGTAAATCATTTATCTGAATGGAGTCCTGTAGAAATTGTTTTGGGTACGGTAATCAACTGTAAAATGTAATTGTTTGTAAAACCTCTTATGTATGTATTACTAAGGAGATCAATGAAAGTTTTTCAGGATCATTAGAGAACCAAGCATACATAGTATTGCTTTATTCTCAAATAATAGGAATCGGAACAAAAGTTTTCTGGAAGCAATATATCTAACCCCTTCTATTCGTCCTCCCCATTTCTTCTTTCTTCTTCAATTTTTTTATTTTTTTTATTATCATCTCTGCCTGCCCCTCAAATATAGTATACTGACTAGCAACCAAAAAAGTATGGTAGTAAAGCAATATAGCCTACAAAGCCAAATATGTTTGTAGAGAAACTATTTTTAAGATTTATTTAGAGAGAGTTAGAGAATAAAATTCAATTTCCCAAGTTTTGTTTTGTTTAGAACCATCCTTTCATATCCAAGAAAATTGGTCTTATAATTTATAAACCTATTATAATAGTTAAAAAGAAGAAACCATACTATGCCAGTTCTGTATTTACTATTTTTTAACACATCCCTAAAGAATTATTATATTTTGTTTCTATTATTTTAGGGTTAGTTTCTCATTATTTGTGTCTCGCTGTTTGGTTATATACCTAGTGGACAAGTTATTGTTTATGAAAAGATAGTTTTATTTGGTTAAACGAGGTTTTAAATTAATGAAATCACAAGAAACAAATTGTAAAAAAAAAAAAACACGACATCTACAGAAAACCGGACAGAACTAACAATAAAATTGGCTTCAGCTGTTCCATAAGGATGAGAAATCTACCAAGGGACTATTTTTTATCTACGATTATATCAAACTGTTATATACATCCTGAGTATTTCCACAATCATTGAGTCGACTCTTTGATTAATTTGCCAGCTGATATATCATCGCTTATTTTACAGTTTTTTTAGCAATTAGTAGAAACAATACAATTAGTTAATCTCTGATTCAACAACAGAAGTAGGTGTTATAAGAGTAGGCAAACCAGTTTTTACCGACGGTAGGTACAATTTCCAAAAATTGAAGGACAGGACCTAGATCGGTGGATTGGGCTTTGAAAGTTCTGTTATTACCATAGATAATTTTAATCCGTCCAGATCACAGTAGTTTTCTAATTTTTGTATCATATGCTGCAGCCCAGTGCTCATTGGGGAGAGGAGAATATTATCGTCTGCATAAAGTAACACATTAAACATTAAATTCATTTAATTTTTCATTTAATTTTACTTTTCATTTAATTTTATTTTCACTCATACAAAATAATAAAACTAAATTGCACCACTTTAACTTCATAATCTTTATAGCAACTTAGCAGACGCACAGGCACAGCCTATGTCTGCTAATTCCAGAACTAATTAGATAGGAACAACCTTTTACACATGTATATAGTTAATTAGTTATAGTTAGTTAGTTTAGTTTTGCATAAAGCCCTTTTTTCTTTTGTACATTTGGTTGTGTAATTTTTATATATGTGGTGGAATAAATTCACAATTCATTCATTCAATTCATTCATTCATTCATTCACATTTATTTTAATTCCATTTAAGTTACCCCACTTCTGTTCTTCTGGTTCTATTATTGGGTTTTCTTAGTCATGGTGTCCTTTCACTTGGTTACAACAGAATATTGATATTATATTTCAATTAAAATTTTTTCTTCTTCTTCTTCAGTCTTGTTATTACTCTTGGCATTGTAATTCATTAAATTTGTTTCTTCTCTTTTTTTAACCCTTTCAGTGCCATGCGACGATGTATCGTTGTGCGTCTTTCCCCCGAAGAGTGCTATGGAACGATATATCGTTGTGCGTCTTTTTCCCGAAAAGTGCTATGGAACGATATATCTATGTTTGTGTTTTATTCAAATAGTGCTAAGCGACGATACATCGTACCGGTGCGACATTTGACCGTGTTAGCTTAAATGAGCATATCGGTTGTTGTTTTGAAACAGCAATAGTTTCTTTCGATTTCTCATACGATCAAGGCCTGATATAAATTTGAAATAAAAAGGCCTGATATATCGTTCCTTAGCAATTTTGAGGACTATGGACTGTTTATGGAATGTATGTCAATAAAACAGTATTATCAGTAAAAGACAGATTTAATTAATTACAACTTATTGGAGACTATCACAATTACTTTAGAGAAAACCTGGCCATAAATGCTCAAATACTCTGCAACTTTTCACAAAGACACCTTAGTATGCAGGTAACCAAATTTTATAATAAACTTCCTACAAAATCAAATTTGAAACTTTAACAATAAATTTAACAAAAAAAATTCTTATCAACGAGGCTAATGTACTTCTTTGAAGAGTTTTAGTTATATATTGCTTTATTTGAAACTTGAAACTTTTGGTTTTAAAATAATTTCATTTGTTATTTTAATTATGATTTTTTTTATGTAAAAATTTTATATTGCATTTGTTTTACTTTATTTGAGCTGAAACAATATTAATGTTGATGTTATGTTACGTCATGCATGATAATTATGAGTATTTTAGTTTAGTTAGTTTTATTAAATCACTCCTGACGCCATTCCTGGGTTGATGTACTGAATCAAATCAAATCAAATTAAATTGAGATGAACAATTTTATTTTTACCGATTTTTTTCTCGCACACTAGACCAAAATTTACAACAAATAACTTTGCACTCACATTTTAAAAACCTCTCTAACTCTATCTTATGTAGGCTATAATTTATTAAATAGGTTACAAAAAAATATTTCACTAGTTAGTAAAATAAAAATAGTACCGGGATTTAGTAAAACATTTATGAAATAAGTTAATTATTGAATCAAAACTCTTGCAAACCTTCTCATTGCCCAGTAGCATAATTTTGTTTTGTGCATCATGATAAATTTTTACTTTCTCCCCCTATACCATAGTATATGGAGAAAGTATTGTTTTCGTCAAAATTTTTGAGTTTGAGTAATGAGTGGATATATTCGTTTTGGGTCCCCCTGGACCCAAAAAAGTGGTTTTCGAGGTGATGTGTGTGTGTGTGTGTCTGGATGTGTACAGAGCTAGGGACTACACCAGTGGTCCGATCTCGATGAAATTTGGTATGTAGGTTCTAATCCATGGTATCTCCAGGCGTTTTTTTCATTTTTTTGAAATTTTGATTTTTAATGGGGATTTTCCCATAAAAAACCCGGAAAAGTAGGATTTTCTCAAAAATGGCCCGAGTGATTTTGATAAAAATTACTATGTTGTAGCCCTTTAAATTCTGAACAAAATGGTACAAATCCCATTTCTGTAAAAATTACGGTTCAAAAGTTATTGTAAATTAAGTTATTTCCCCATAAAATAACGAAAAATAGGATTTTAGAGTAAAATCCAGTTTTGATTTAACATAGTATGTTATGGTCCTTACAATTTTGAGTTTTTTCATTTTTTAGAAATTTTGTTTTTTAATGGGGATTTTCCCATAAAACCCCATATAATAACAGAAAAATAGGATTTTCCCAAAAATGGCCCGAACGATTTTGATAAAAATTTAGTATGTTATTTTCTGTAAAAACTACGGTTCAAAAGTTATTGTAAACTAAGTTATTTTCCCATAAAATAACAAAAAATAGGATTTTAGAGTAAAATCCGGTTTTGATTTAACATAGTATGTTATGGTCCTTACAATATCGATAGTTTTTTCATTTTTTAGAAATTTTGTTTTTTAATGGGGATTTTCCCATAAAACCCCATATAATAACAGAAAAATAGGATTTTCCCAAAAATGGCCCGAACGATTTTGATAAAAATTTAGTATGTCATAGTCCTATATATTCTGAACAGAATGGTACAAATCCCATTTCTGTAAAAATTACGGTTCAAAAGTTATTGTAAATTATGTTATTTTCCCATAAAAACCCCATAAAATAACAGAAAAATCGGATTTCCCTAAAAATGGCCCGAACGATTTTGATACAAATTTAGTACTGTATGTTATATTTCTTTAAATTCTGAACAAAATTGTACAAATCCCATTTCCGTATAATTACTGTCACCGCTTACACATGATAAAGGTTGTTGACAAACTTATGGGAGAAAGTATGTGTCAGAATGCTGATACCGTTTATTGAATATTTTCTGCTTGCAATGTGGGTGCGTAATGCTTTAAAATTAATCTCTGCTTAAATCAATAATTAGCCGACGTGGCGACTTTATAGGTTTTAGGAATTTTTTTATTGCTCAGCAAAAAGATCTGAAATTATTTCACTACTTTCATTCTTCAGTGCATGACTTGACCGAGGTTCTGAGACATTTATGAGATGTATGAGCTGGTTCTGGATCTTGTTCGGTTGTAAACAAAGTGGTGAAATTTGTTTCTCGATGATCAGAACCTTCTATCCCTTGCTAATTCTGTAAATATTTTTGCTTTGGAAGTCAACAGAGTTTTATTTTTAATCTTGATAATTAACCTTGAAAATTTAACACTTATATGTACATAATAAACTAAATACAATATATTTTTAAATGTTTAGTCCAAACTTACCAACGCAGTTATTTTTGTTTACACGTCAAATCTAAATTATGACAAAAAAAATAACCTGTAACAGCTGTTTTGTTAACTGCCGCTAAAAAAAGATATTAACAATAACATGGGTACTTTTAAGGGCTGTAGGACAGAAACAGGATTTTTCCCAGCATTGTGACCAACTCCAATCGATTTCTCGTGGCCATATCGATATGATCGATATTCAACCAAAAATAAAAACAACAATCCTCGGACGAAAATTAAAGTTTGCCCGTACACACGCTTGTTTTAGATTATAGGATTTTATGAAACTTTAGTCTTTTACTATTCAAACATAGCTTTGGGAACTACAGTATTTACAAGAGTAAAAAGAGGACAAACTTCATATTTTAAACTTGTCTACAGCAATTGAGCAAGAATGTCATAACTTAAAAAACAATATTCAAAACATAAAAAAAAGGTAAGCTGTTTTCAAAAAATTTTTTTGAAATTTCTAAAACTTTATTTCTTAGTTATGAAAATAAAATGATTTTCCATCAGTTATATTTTTCTCCATCCGGATGGACAAGGATGATGAAAGCTTTATAATGTGAACAATAACCAGTGAATAGGGTTTTAGTTTGGATCATAAAGCATATCTAATTTTTTCATTAAGCTAAGGTAATACAGTAGACTTCCCGAGGCCAGTCCGGATAACGGGTTTTCCGGTTAAACCGACGTCCCCAAAAACTTGTTAAAACGGACTGTTTACTGTGATATTTAACTTAAATTTAGGATAGCATTGTATTTAGACACGTCATCACTGGTCTCAAATCTTTCCCACGAGAACAGTCGTTTCAGTAGTGCCCACTTCCTGCCGATCTAGTCCAGTTAAACCAATGTGCTGATAAAAATTGTCCGGTTAAAGTAAAGAGATGTAATTTCCACCGAGTGTAGTCCGGTTAAACCGATGTCCGGTTAAAAGGTGTCTGAATAAGAGGGAGTCTACTGTATTGTAATATTTAACTCTACAAGAATTATACAACTCTTGTGTCTGTAGCTCCCCAAAAACTCTGGTCAATGGTAATTCAGTTTGTCTGTGTATTAACATAGACAAAAAGAATTAAATATAGACCATCAGCTGTGCTACGGTTACCATAAGTTCTGGCGCACACCGCTTGGAGCACCACGGTAGTTACGGCATACGCGCTACGTAAACTACAGCAGTGTGCGCCGGAACCTATGGTAACCATGGCAACCTTAGCACGGCTGACAGCCTATATTTCATTCTTTTTGTCTATGGTATTAATCATACAGCCATTTTTAAAAGGCATTTTTGTATTTTGCGTAGGGATGGGTGTGTCTCAAATTTAGGAGAAATTTGCAAGATTTAAAAATCTCCTTAGTTCAAGCAAGATTGACTTTGCTCAAAGACTTTTTGAAGATGAGATTGAAATTTCATTCAAATAGGCTAAGAATGCATTTGCAAATGATATGCAGCAACAATGTGCTCCTGTTTTGCTGGTATTCCAGAGACTTTCTGAAGGCGTTTTTAACTATGTACATCACTAAAATCAGTAAAATCGGTTTATCCCGTAATTAGCTTATCCGTTATGAGTTTTATGACCCTGGTCCCGGATATACTAGGTTTTACTGTATGTGATATCATTATCACTGAGATCAGAAGTAAGAAGTAACACTGTACAAGCTACTACAATTATCTAGTTTCTTATAGATTTTTTTTCTTGTTAAACAGTTAGTTGTGGTGTACATGTTGCAGTTTTATGCCCCCAGTACACTCTCGCCGAGGCAAGGCGAGCGTTGGCGAGTGCGAGAGTGTACTCGGTTCGCTCGTATTCTCTCGCCTTGACTCGGGTCGCCTCGCCTCGCCCAGCCTCGTGCTCGCCGGCGCTCCGTCTGGAGTCGGTTTTTTGACACGAGTCAAAGGACCCGAGACTGCACGAGTGACGAGCGCTACTTCCACATCGAAGTTTGCCTCCATTTCGACTGCGAGACAAAGCGAGAGTGTATACGGTTACCTCGCATAAGCTCTCGCCCGAATTTCTCGGCGAGCGTTTTGGCGAGGCGCCTCGGCGAGCGTCTCGGCGAGAGTGTACTGGGGGCATTACATTAAAGATGTCTTATTTGATTTATTTCTTATTTAAGACTTTCACAACTATTTAGGTTTTTGTAAGCTTTTGTTTATTTGTACACTCTTTTTGTATAAACTTTTGTAATAAAGGAGTTATTGTTCTTTAGTTGTTGGGTACTTTGATATTATACGGAGGCCACCCTTATACAGCGCACTGCGGCAGTTATGTTAAATTGGGTTTATTATAAATAGAAAGTATGACTCATCTGGTATCGTTTGATTTATAATGAAACAAGGAAAGTCCTACAAACATATTTATGATAATCCAAAACCTAACATAACCGCCACAGCGCACTTTAAAATATGTGTCCTCCGTATAATACCAAAGTACCAGTTGTTGTTTTAATAGTGCTTTATTGTTATTTATCAACCCTACAAGTGGCGAATCAACAAAAAATGTCAATCTCAAATTGTGTTATGTGAAGTGTCAGCCACCAAAATTTGTCGATTAATGTAACGTTTTCTCCCGTTGAATTTTACGCACAGTTAAAATCGATGAAATGACGTAACTCTTATACCAATGGAAAGATGAGATTCTGTTTCATTTTTTATAAGAATGAACCTTATAACATAGGTATATCAATCTAATCATGAGTTACATTTGAATGGAATTAACGCGTGAACTCACAACCACCAAGTAATTTTTTTCTTTTACTTTTTTCAAAAAAAATATATTTTTTTTTAATTCTATTGAATTTTACGAACAAAATGAATGTACAGCTCAATAGTTTATCTCTACTTACTAGTTTTATACAGATTTTTGAAAAACCACCTTACAAATTCACCAAATTAAGCGTGCCACTCCACAAAGCACATACTGAAAATTGGTCTCGCCAATCCTAGGGTTAACCATTGTAAAACTGGACAAACAAATAATTCCCTATAGTAATGAGATCTATAGTCTTGTCTCAAATTGGGACAAGAAAAAAAATCTCACCTCAATCTCATCTCGAACATAAAATCCAGTCTCGTCCATCCCTAGTTTTGTGTTAACAAATTTCCTATTGCTGGGTTTCAATACCAACCTTTGTCGAGCCAAACCTTTGCCAAACACTTGGTACGGTATGTAAGTAGTTAAACAACCACAATTTGACTTAGCTATTGGGAAATTGTTTTTTAATTCATGTTCTAACATTAGCAATTGACCTAAAGTTGGCACTCCAGGGATCAAAGGATTCTACGCAAAATAAAATATCATTTAAATATACATTTATTTGTAGAATGCAATATCAGTACATTGGTAAAACAATAAAGAAAAGAAAACAAGTAAAAAAATCAGATACATGGTACAAAATCAAATAACTAGTATTAAGTAAAAATACAGGGTTATTACAAATTATGTTCCTGATTTTGATTATAAATATTACTGGGTTAATTTGTTTCAAAACTATTTTAGTTGGTACCATTGGAAAGAAAAACTCATAAAGTTTCATTTACATTGGTGCATATCAGCTGTTTGTCAAGTCAATTGTTGTAAGTGTTGTGTAAAGCCCCGTTTCCATCAAACATTTTGTACCAACAATGTTGGGAGCTAAGTTCAAGTTGATTTGAGCACAGCTCCCAACAATGTTGGCGCGCTGTTTCCATTCCAGCAGTACGCGCCAACATTTCGCGCCAACATTTCCCGCCAACCAATCCTTCTACTGTGAGCACATTTCACTACCATCCACGGGTCGCCGGAATTTTATCCCCCTGGAATTTTACCCCCTGGGCAAAGCTGACGTACTATGACGTTGTAACCTGAGTGGCCAAAAGTTTGTTCGCGTCCGGAATTTTACCCCCGCGGATTTGGAAGTCTAATGAAAATAGTCAGAGCGTGATTAATTAGATTAGCGATGAAAACCGGAATTGAACTGTCCATATAACTAGCGTTTAGACAACTGAAGATGTACGGGCCGGATTTTTACCCCCGGAATTTTAACCCCGGAATTTTACCCCCGGAGTTTTACCCCCCGGAATTTTACCCCCGGAATTTTACCCCCTGGCCGATTTTAGAAATTGAACGACTGATTTTCTTATTTCTGTTTTTAATTAACTGTAAACATTTCATTATTTAGTAGGGTATCTTTATTTATTTATTTTGTAATCTCAACTAAGTAAACAGAATTCGTTGTTTTATTTTGATCATATTAACAACAGTTGGCTTCAAAGATCGAATCCTGATACATGAATCTCAAAATTAAAATTAAAAACCTGTTCGATTAGTTAATGTTACAAATACAAAGATATCAACTTTAACACTTCGTCTTTTCCCCAATATTGACTTGACATCGCCATGGCCTCACTATACCGTCCAAAAGCCCAACACAACAAGTTACACCGACACTACACAAGAATGTTTACACCATAAACAAAAACACGTGGTGTTGTTGGTGTTTAACCCGTCTGCTAGGCTAGAGGTGCGATGGTGCTGCGGTGGATGTGCGGCGTGGCGTCTGCTGGAACTACTCACAGAGCAAGTGCGCATGCGCGAGTTCTGCTCACAGCAATGTTGGCAGCTGGACACCGTTTCCATTACCTTTTGAGCACAGCTCACAACAATGTTGTCAGCTGCAACGGCTGCCAACACTTTTTGTTGGCCAACACTGCTCAAAACATTATGCTAGTGTTTCCATTCAACATTTTACTCCAACTTTGTTGTGAGTTTAGCTGACAACAATGTTTTGAGCAGAAAATGTTTGATGGAAACGGGGCTTTATGGCTGAATTTGAAGGCAGGAAAGCTTTTTGCCAGTTGGGATATTACATTAACCAATCTGTTATTAGTGTGCAACGACACTTTAGAACCAGGTTTAACGATTATCCTTCTAGTAACCACTATATTGGCAAGTGACACTTGGAATTTAAGAGAAATGGCTGCATTTGAATGTTACTTGTAGTAGGGCTGAACTTAACAATGTGCTGCCTGAGATATGGAACGAGCTCGGTGGTCCGAATAATGACACACCCCTGAACCGGCCAACAAGATCTCTGGACATCACCCCCTGATTTTTTTCTTGTGGGAATCCATCAAAGATAAGGCATACACACCACCATTATCAGATAGCATACTTGAGATCCAGCAACGGATTACCAATGCTATCGAAACAATAGACCTAGACACACTTTTCAAAGTCTAGCAAGAGCTTGACTACATTATTGACATCTGTCGTACCACAAGGGGTTCCCGTATCGAGCATTTACAGATCTGTGTCGAAAATTTTTGAGTTTTTCAAAAGTTGTAACCATTTTATTTCTTTGTATAACAAATAAAACTATATTTTATGTATGTATGAAATCATGAACATCATTTGTAATAACCCTGGTATTGAAACCATGATTTGAAATCATTAACAACTTAAAGCTAAGCCAATAGGACAAAGCTATTAAAATATAATAGTTTATATTAAATGTGCAAAAATTATATAATAAATATGAATAAATATTTCAATCAAATAAATTGTTACGATTAAGTTCCTTGATAACGTTTAAAACGTGCAACACAATCGATCATAAATAAAAGCACAGTAACAATCTGTATTATAACGTATAAAGATGAAACTATGTTGATTTTACAGGTAGCCTTACAAAGGTAGTGTGGCTTTTTATGCACAGTAGATATCAAAACTGGATGAAACAAAAATTCTGGTTAAACATGGTTTTGATCATAAATTGATGTAAAGACACTACTTTGAAATACAGACACTGATAAATTGTTTAGAATCCAGATATTGTGTAATCTGGATAACTGATAACTGTTATAGCTGCAAGATTTTATCTGGGAAAATGCCACTTTATAGGTGTACTAAAACAAAACTTAAGTTTAAACCGAAGTGAAGTGAAGAGTCGTGTCTTCAAGCTGTGTACTTTCGAGCCTAACAATTAAACCAACACCATTAAAATACAAGCCAACAATGATGAACAGTTGTTACAATTAGGTTTGGTGGGATATAAAGTAACCTTCAGTGAGTAAATAGTTTAGATTCTTCCAAGATTAGTTTTGGAGGAGTATGTCAGAAAACCAATACTAGTAGGTTTATTTTTGAACTAAGGACTCCACCAAACTACCATCGTGACCAAGCAAGGCTAGTTCAAATCTGAGAGATTGTTAGTGTTATTTACTTCACCCACATAATTCTAGCCTGTTCCCATTCCAATGCTTGGTCTCGTCACAGTAGCCAGGAAAATCAACGCACCCGCCAAGTATGAGTCACCCTGTCAAGTACGTACAAGTTTTACAACTATATTCCGTTACTGTAAAAATAGTAGGCTTCTCTAGTTTACTATAGTCGAATAGATTACAGAATAGGACCGAAACCAGTTCGTGGTGTGAGGGCAAGGGCAAGCGGCATCCAATCAGCTTTCAGAAAACTGTCCACTGTTGCCAAGTTGTCCCACGCACTCAGTCTTTGTCCGACAGCTGACCTGTGCGTTTTGAGCATATTCTCTTGTTTTGTCAATAAATTGCCTTAAAGTGTGCTTATAATTCAAAACAGGCCAGTAACAAAGCTACACAAGGCATCTCACTCCATTCTACACTCATCCTTCACTCATATTTAGGTTAAAATAGGCTCATAGGTGGCGTCCCCATCTCAAATGAATAATATGGAAGGTTATATCCTCTTCATTTCCTTGTTAATTTTGTTTCATGTATCAAACAATAAGCTGAGCAATATTTTAGAACTGCTATACAAATTGTCTGGTCATATAAATTTACTGTTATTGTGATTAACAATATTTTTTAATCACATTTTTGTGTTATTAACTGTTACGGTGATTTATTGATTCAATTAAAATTTATTAATTTTATGTTTATATTTTTTTTTTTATTAAAAACTGCATCTGGTAGCTGTTTGAGCCATTTTAAAGACAATTGGAAGAAAATAATCAAACCATAATAATGTATGGGATGAATTTTGTGTTCCAGACGATTTAAAAATATAACAATACTAACCGATACCACCAAGAACAAATAAATTATTAATTTGTAGTGTTGAACTGAACTACAAGTGGAAAGATAGAGTAAGGGGGGTGCCGGGCTCTAGGTGAACGTCAGCTCACCGGCCAAGAACGACGTGGCAACGTCGCATCCCCGACCTCTTCAAAGGCCAGTCCTATTCTGTAATCTATTCGACTATAACTATATGCACAAACAAAAACAATGTTTGGTTATCAAACGTATTCATTCACTTTTGTATTAACTTGTAATGCTTTAGACCTTTATCCAATTCAGACAAAAAACCACTCCTGAGTTGTCCAAACGTGAAGTAGTCTTACATGTACACAACCAAAATACCAGACTGTACTTACCCTGAGTTGGATGAATGCGTATGTCGCAGCCACACCAAGAAGGAATGAGAACAGCTGTGTGGCGTACGGGATCCTCAATCCAGCTCGCTTCCTCATCATCATCTGAATGAAGCTCATCTTCTTGTCCGAGTAAGGTGGGTACCGACTCCTGAACACACGGGCAATTGTTACAAAACATGTTTAAAAACTTAATCAATCCTTCCCTGCCAGTCCACAGATAGTTTTTATTCCCAACTGATAGGAGCTTTTTAACTCAAAGATACATCTGTCATCTATATTTATTTTATTTGGTGTAATGGGAGGGTTTGTTTATAGACAGGATTTGGCACTCCTACCAGATGAGTAGGTTGGTAGTGTAGTTAAACATAATTTAAATGGACATTAACCTGCAGAAACATTATGCTTAAGTTGAGATTAGCTTAATAATCGAACATAAGCAACCTTAATCCAGGTTGGGTATAAAATTAGATAAATCAAACCCTACCCTGGGTATTTGATAAATCCATATATTTTGTAAAAGGCAAATCCCTTTTTTTGATGGTATTCCATAACTCGAGAACGATTGCACTGAATTGGATGATTCTTTTTTTGTTGTGTTCCTTAGTGCCAGGGGAGGGTTTTTATGTAAGGCAATTTATAATCCATCCAACCATTATTTAGTAATTTGATTTTTAAAATAAAAAAAAAATCCTTTCAATGCATTGGAGGAAAATATTTTCATTAAACTGTGGGATACAATAAAATGTGTTAGTCAAAAGGTGAGTGAGGGTGCGAAAGAACTTCAAATTGGAGGCGAGTGAGCGTGGCGAACGAACTTCAACCAGGACGTGATTGAGCGATGCCATTGAGTATACACGTACTAGAGTAGCCACTCATCAGTGGAGGTTATCATTACCTGAACAGCGCTGTTGCAGAGTAGCGTCAGTGCTCCACCTTGGGCTTGTCGGTAAGGCAGTTTGGTTGTTTTTTTTTAATTATTGCTTTCATTGTAGGTTGTAAAATGTAATTTTTGTTGATGAAATTTGTTTGTTTGTTTCTAGTTTTGTTGTTTTACAATATATTTTTAAAACTAAATGATTAAAAGGTCCTCAGAGGCGCACTGCACTACCGACAGACTACCACGACCCAAGCGTCAGCGGCCTGAACTACATCACCAAAATCGATAACAACTAATAGCATTATGTGACAACTCTTATACGTGTATACTCAATGGCGATGCGAATGAGCTCATCTTGAAAATAATTAATAAACGAGTATTTGATATAAAACCACGTTAGGACAGAACGTCGTCTGTCGGGCCAGCTAGTTTTTAATAAAACAGAACATAGTTCAATGAGCTACTGTAAATATTATTTTTTTATGATTGATTTATCATATGAGATATGATATGGTTTACACAGCACCAGTAACGGTGTGTTTTTATTTCAGTATGGCTTGGTTAAAAGGTTGATTTACTTGGCAATCATCAGTAATTGATTGCTATCAAACCCACTCTGCGGAGGCCCAATTCAGCTGTGTAAATCTTAAATCTATAACTGGTTACAACTGTATCAGTGGGATGGGAAATGGGATGTTTACTCCCCTTACCGCACCCTATATACTTGCACTAAACTTATTAGATCTTGTAATCACTGCAAAACTTACGCTGATAGGGACTCCAGGAGGGGGTTGAAGTCTTTGATGAGAGCGCTGCGTTGGTGAGTGAATGTATCAAAGCTGTACTTGCCATGGTACGCTCCCATGCCACTGCTGCCAACACCACCAAACGGCAGACTCTCAACTGTGCAAGAACCAACTCGTCACAATGGTAGGTAAAATTAAAATTTGAGTAATTGTTCTTTCGTAAAATCTATTTGAACAAGTTTTACTGAGTACTGAAACCAACCAATATTTCAAAATACACATGAAGCCATAAAAGTAAGTAAGTAATAAATCCAGGTATTCTGCACATTTAATGAAGCTTTTAGACTAAGTATGAAATTGAGGTAATACTAACAAAAATAGTAATTTATGCACTTTGACTAGGAATCGTGTATATTGCCTATGCATTTATAGAATTCACACAGTTGTGGGTGGCAAAGTATTAATTTTTTTTTTTTAAACAACTATATACGTGCTATACAGAATTGAAATATTTTGTACATGGATGGGTTAGCTTAGTTTAGATTAGTTAAGGACAAACAAGGAAACAAAAGTTCTACAACAGTGTATTTCATACGTTATCTGGAGTGCCAACAAGTATTCATAGAAGGACATGGCAAAGTATATACTGTAATGTGCTTTATTGCATACCTTGCCTGATTCATTTTATGCAATCTATAAATAAACCTAGGCATTCTGTAGAATACCTGATTATATAATTTGCCAGTATATATTGTAGATGGTTTTATAGTAGAAGTTATACTAGAACCAAATCATAAATTATTATTAGTCACAGTCCCCAAAACAGAACGTTTTAATATTTTCCAAAGATTTTCTACGGGCTTAAACGGTCCAAGTTAAATGAAGTGTAAATAAACTGCGTGTGTGATAGTTTTAATGAATATTTGGAAATAAATAAGTTTTCAAAAGCTTATATCCGTTTGAATACGTCTACTGTTATTATATTGATTTGCTTTAGAAATTTGTTTATTCTATGCGTTCTTACTCACGATCGATGCACCGTATATTGACATCCTAGCTTTCGTTTATGTAATGCATGACGTTTTGTAGCGTTACTGTTTGCAGAACAGAGAATTTTCTTACAGAAAATAAAGTTGTAGACTTTCTTCAGAAACTTATACAGGTTAAGTGTAAGAAAGGACCATGAGGCCTTTACTTTGTCTGTGAAAATAAGGTTTTTATTTTTTTTTTTTTTATTCAAAAGTGTTTTTTTGCAGGCTTGGCTTTTTGCAGCCCTCGCCGTCGTTCTGCGACAATGTCACACTGTCGCCCGTAGTTCTGCTTTGGGGGTCACAGATAAAACATGTGTATGTTAAGAAGAAGAGAAATTGAACAGTAGTGTTGCAAATACTTTCAAGTTTGGGGTGTGTTGCTAGCATAGTAGTTACTACCTCGGACTTAACTGTAAGAAGGACGGTTTTCATCTCAGGCATATCCAACAAAAATTGACAGGTTCAGACCGCTTTCTCTTACAATATTTTGTGATTCCTTATTCTAAAATGCTACTGGACATGAAGACTTAAGATTTGTCTTCTGAAAACCTTGAGAAATGAATTATGCAATTGTCATTTGTTTATGTTGAAAAGAAAAGTTTTAAAATTAGAGTTTAAAGTTCAAAATGGAAACGTGAAGTGTTATGGAGACTTCTAATATAATCACAGATCTAACCATATTAGTAGTGTGACAAATCATGGGTTCGTTTTTAACCCTTTGCATGTATCTTGCAAAGCATTAAAGCTGACCAGTAAACTAAGAGGACCAAACAAACAAGGGAGACCCAAAGACATTCATTTGGCACAGTTTAGTTCAAACAGAATGGTGACAAAATGACAAAATTCATTTGATATCTCATGCAGAGTTATAGAAGACCTAACAACAAAGAGAAGCGAACAAAAAAGCTGGTGCAACACATAGACAATGATTTAGCAAAGGTTCAGTTCTAACAGATGATTAAGTAACTGATGACACTGTGGTTTCTCCTAAATAAATTAGAATAACAAACGCTTTATGCCCCAAAACCCGGTGTATTGACTTTAATTGAGCGTAAAACAAAACAAAAATTCATCTGTCCCAGCAAACCTGCATACTAAGCAAATTTCCATTTGGCTGATTGGAATTTCAATAAAATCTATTTAAATAATATTGATTAGGTTTAACGATTAACTTGATTTGCTACAGGGAGGGTAATAAAGTGGGTTTATTAGTAAAATATAATAACTTAGTATAAAATGAATGAATTTGCCAAGTTTGATCAAAATATATCCATAAACAAGCAAACTACAACTTATTCTCCAAAAGAATATAAAATGGAATTTCAAATATACAATGGTTTTTATTTTCTCCGTATTCAATGACCGTACAAAATCACTTCAACATACAAAATTATTTGTTTGTTTTAAGCTCTTCAAAATGGTTTAGAGAAAAATTGGGAAATTTATATTTATACACAATCAAGAATCAAATTGATTTGATCAAGAATTAAAATTGTTTCTTAAACTAGTATTGTCTACAAGATAAGGAATTCCTTCTGTAAAGATCTTGACAGGAGCGGCCCTTGAACAATAAACAATGATCAGATGGTAAGAAGATTTTTGTTTGGTGTATTTCAATGCCATTGGCATTTTTTAACAGGTTTTTCAGTTTTTGTAAGGAAACGGTCCAATACTACCTAACATCAACCGAACTTAAGTTGATGGGCTGAGTGGATTCTTTGTGGGTTGTACCTCTTAGTGGACATTTTACTTCTTTTTACCTACCCTTACCCTTACGAGGTGTGTTTACTGAAAACTTGCTTTATAGATGTTAGAAGTTTGTGTCATAAGATGATAAAACGCAAATTTGAAATAATCATATCTAAAACAATAAATTACTGGGGCTTAAAGGAACAAGTGAACAATAATCACACGCCAAACCAAAGTTAGTTGTGCAGCAAACGATTGATTTGTTTGAAAATCTCATGCAGAACAATGAGAACCAACAGAGAAAGCGGACAAAAACACGAACGAGACACAAACAAACCTGATGCATGAACGACAGAATCATTGATACAAACGCCTCCGCTAGACGTCTGGGAGAGAAACTGGTTAATCTGTTCCTCGTCTGAAGAGAAGATATAGAGTACCAGAGGACGAGGTCTACGATGACAAGTTATGTAAACAACTGACGATATTTGAGACTTTGTTTTGGTAACATTTCAAACTGGATGTTGGCTTATCGGTGGGTTGCAAAAATTAAGGTTTTGATGACCATAGTTTAGAAAATCTTTACGATATTCACATAACACAAAAGTCACTGGAACAAACTTTAGTGTTCAAACCACTAGACTTATTTCAGTCATTATAACTGTACATCACAATGGCTTATAAGTGTGATTCATTTTGTTTTGATACAACTTTTTTACAGAAATATACAAGTTTAGTACCTATCTTTAGTTTTAAAACTATGTTTAAATTTTACCATAAAATATTATAAAAAACATACTGTTTTGAATTTAAAAAGTAAAACAGTGTTATCATTTTAATTTAAATATTGTTTTAAAACAATTTACTATTTTAACAATTTATTCTTTATAAATTGACAAATCAGACAATTTTTACAATATTTTTCAATCAGTCTGCATCCAGGTTGAAATCTTACCAAAACAGCAACATGATCACATCTAACTTTGACGTATTTAAGGAACAGCAAACACAATAGAAGCTGCTATCACTCCATTCCTCTACAACAAACAGAAGACAAGCAACAAAAACACAAAAACAATAAAAGACGCAGAAGGAAGAGAAACTGCTGTTGCTATATGGGACAAACGTTTATAATTTTAATGGCTAAAGATATTTTGCATCTCATAGCATGATAGATTCACATTTAACTGTAGGGCCTATAGTAACTACCAACCTACAATCTATCTACACACCCCAAGTGAAAAAGATAATGTAAATATTATTGCGTACATCTTACATATTACAAAACCAAATAGCCTCCACCACAAAGAAATAGTACAGCTTAATTAGAAAGAGATATACAGTGACAGACATTTGAAGAGAAGTCAAGAATTCCGCCACCAGAAAGAACCTGCAATATAGAGAGTAAATGTTAATGTGTGCTATTTTACCGGCGTAGTGCATGACGACCTCGTTGATACTGACGGAGCCACTGTTGGTCTGTTCTACGATGAGGTCTTGTACCTTGTGGTCCGCACTGAACACGTACAATGTCAATGGTTTGGGTCTGTAACATACATTGGGCGTTGTCTGAACTCAGCTGCTAGACAAACGTTTTCGCTGGCAAAAAATGTAAATTGACATGTTAAACTATGGGTGCAAAAGATTTTTTAAGTATTTTCAACAGTTATTTTCAGTTTTGTGCTTGTGATTTTATAAACTAATGCAGGGGACTCCGACCTACGGTCGGCACATCCAACCTTGCGAACAAATTTTTTCTGCCCCGCCAAAAGGTAGCATAGGCTACAAAAAAAATATCTTTAAAAGAAAGCTTTTTTTAGTGAGTAGATGGATCGTCTATTGTGGCAACACTCGTCTGTGTATCTAATAGTCAAGGCAATACCATGATCGTTTCCCGCAGCCACAGCACACGTGAGCATATATTGCAATCTCGGTGATAACAACACCTGAAGTGATTTTACTGGATAATTACCAATTATTGGTGTACCTAACGGATTCTAAAACAAAATATATTTAATAATATGTCTCTGGTAAAAATCTTCAGATTGGTCCAAATGGTCAACAAGAGTATAAATACCCCCGCCGCAGCAAACCTGCAGACTAAGCGAATTTCCATTTGCCTGATTGGATTTACACTAAAATGTATCCTTAAAAATATCACATTTATCCCTATTTAAATAGAATCAGTTTAACACATACTTAGGTTTGCTGCAACAGGGAGGGTAAAGGTGTTTTTTTATGTAAAATGTTAATTGTTAGTAAGAAATAAAAACATGTTCCAAATTTGGGCAAAATATGTTAATAAACAAGCAAACTACAACAGTTTACTTATTCTCCATAAGAATAACATGGGGATTTTAAATTTGCAATTTTTTGGAATTTTCTCCGCAACCATTAGGCGCATTATAACGCTTCAATATACTAAATTATTTGTTTTTTTAAGCTCTACAAAATAGTATTGAAAGAAATTGCAAAATTTGATGTTTTTTGGGTCAAAAATGGGAAAAACCCATTTTTACCCCATAAAACCCCCCATAAACCCCCGTTCCCATGGTCCGATCATGCTGGTTCGCGAACTCGTTCGAATAAACGTAGGTTTACACGTTTGTACCAAATTTAATCAAAATCGGATCATTTTTGCTCGAGTTATCGCGCTAACGGACACATATATATATATGAATTTGAACGGATGGTGTTTTTGGCCTCTAGGGACCTCAAAACGGAAAAAAAAATCGGTCCCGGGTCCAGGTCTTACCATGAGTACTACGGTAATAGCTTATTCCCTATATGGGAAATTCGCTAAAAATAAATGTTGAACATTTCCATTACAAGTGCAAATTACTATCATTTATCTAATATCAAAAATATTTTAAGAAATAGTGCTGAAATCACTATGATTGTAACTGTTATCAATGTAAAATTATACAACCTTTAGGTGTTGAAACTTATAATTTTTTATCTTTGTCAAAAACTTAAATCACTAGATTGAAATCCTATAGGGCTAAAAACTTACTAAAGTTACCACTAAGACTATGATTATAAAATTAAAATCTACAAGCAAACATTGCTCGTATTAGAGTATAGGATACTGAAAGTGAGGTAATAAAAATAATAACAAATGTCTGACAAACATTAAACAGCTGACGAATAATTTATAAACTGTGTATTTCATTCTTCAATAAGAATTGTACTGACTCGACCTTTGAAGGGCTGTAGATCGTAGCCCTTAGAAAAAAACATAAATTCTAAGGAAGTTCGGCAAATCTACGCATTATCCCCTTTAATTTGAGACATAAATCTTGTAGATCGTAAATCTTGTAGTCCAGTAATTACTGAGAAAACAGACTTACAACTGTGTATTAAATATATAGATTAACTATTTTTCTTTTAGATGGGAAGTAACCTAGATGGTGTTTCTTAAAAAATATATGGTTGCTATCAACCCTGAGGTAAAAATGAAATACAGCAGCCTACATTATTTATTTAACCAAGACTTGGCTACAATCAAACCATAAGTTCACCATACTAGCTTAAAACCTACTCACCTGCTGTTGATAAAGCTAATGGCCTGGTAAGCGTTTTCTGCGACAACTATGGGCAGAATGGGTCCAAATATCTCCTCCTGCATGATTGGGTCTGTTGGCTTGACGTCAACCAATACTGTAGGAGCGATGAACCTATCTGTGGCATCTCGCTCCCCTCCGACAGCAATCCTACCACTGGTGTCCATCAAGTCTACCAACCGCCTGAGTGAAAAAAATAGTTTTTGTGCAATTTTTCATGTTAAGTGTAAGAAAGGGTCATTATGGTCTTAATTTTGCCTGTCTAAATAAATAATAACATATAAATTTCACTTTCAATTTTTTTATTTAGCCTAAAAACATTTACCTGACCGTTGAAAAACATGTAAAAACTTTATATCCACTTTCAATAAAGTTATATCCGGTTTAGATCCAAAATCTACAAGATCAAAAGTTACCAACATTGATCACTTTTCTATTCACATCGAGATATAATTAATAATTGAAAATTATTAAACTACTTGAGAAAAATTTTGATCCTACAATGCTAACCATATTGGCTGAGAAATATTTAAAAACAATAGGACTGGGGCTAATTAAACTGCATGCTTCAATCTGCAAAACTCACATCTAAAAATGTGTTTTGTAATTTTAGTTGGACTGAGCCCCAAATATTTATTCATTGATTTAGTTACGTAGATTTTTTTAATTTTGTCCTCAACTTAAAGCAAAAAAATCCTCTTTTGTAGCAGTACAGTCGTACGATGCCACACATTTCTACAATAAGTGGATACCAGATTTGAGAGACAACACTTTAGAATAATGACCAGTTACAAAAGCAAAGATAGTTTAAAAACTATCTGCTAACTTTGCTAGCAAAAAGGTTTCGTTTAATGTAAATATCTAACCATAAATTAATTAATTGATTAATTAATTCTTTAGTTGCTCTTGATGTCAGATATCAGTCGTCTTTGGAACTCAAAGGAGATGAATCAGATTTTGCTATGGATAGCTGAGTGCAAGCAAAGCTAAGATGTTCAGTTGGTAAGTAATAATTCCTTTTTATGGTAAAAATGGTTAAATCTGGCAACAACTTTATCATGGGGATGAAATGTCTAGTTGTATCAATAGTTAAAGCTATAACATGAAAGACAAGAATGGGAACTCACTTGAAGTGTCTGTCAGAAACGATCCTGCACAGGTCTGGTGAATCCTGGGATCGGTCTCCGTACCACTCTTTCAGGATAACCTCGGCTTCCTTCAGGAACTGTTTTTGGACCTGGACAAGAACACATCTAGTAACCACACTCAAATAATCTTGTGTAGTTTTTAGTAGGTCTTATCAACGCTTGTTTTACCTTGAGGTTCCATCTACAGCTACACATCACTGTATTCAATAATGAATAGGTAGATCAGAATGCGGAATCGCCTTTCCAACAATTTAAAAACATAGTAAACAGTGAACTACTACCTAGGTTTAAGGAAGAAATGTAATTTATTTTTTAGGATACAAACACTTTCATTTACTCTGCACTAGTGTGACTAATTAGGGAGCGAGCTGGTTTAGTGTTAGAGTGTGGAACTTTGGTCCCTGAGGTCCCGGATTCAAATCCCGCTAAATCACCAATGGATTTTATCTAAAAGATAATGCTGCAACCCCTAGGTTTAGCCTGAAGTTATGTGAAAAACAATTCCGACCTAAAAAAAAAAAAATTGCTCATGCCTAACATTCTAGGACAAAAAAAAACCTGTGTAGGCTATATGATTTGGTTGAGTAATATAAGAAATTGTTTAGTCGAAAAATCGATGTGAACCTTTTTTTAAATGTTACTAACCAAAGTTGAAATAACCTTTCTTATTTTACTGTCAATGATCAATGACTCTCTACTGTACCTGTAAGATATTCAGCTCAGTCATTGTTGTTTGAACGTATAAACATATACACTTACAAAGATACAAAATGTTAATTGTAACATTCAAACTACGATACTTACATGTTGAGAACAAAGAATGTAATCAGGAGCAATGCAAGTTTGTCCGGCATTCACACATTTGCCCCACAGAATGCGCTTGGCTGCTATCTTTATGTTGGCAGTACTGTCTAGGTAAACAGGGCTGTAACAGGTACATATTTAATCAAAACTTGCCCCACAGTATGCACAGAGCCTGATTACCCATCTAAACATTTGCTGACACAGATTTAAATGTGTACTTATTCCATCAGTGTTTATTGTATCTATAAAGAGATCCTGCAATAAGAAATGATTTTCTTTGTATATCTCCCATCATTTGAATTATATACTCATGACACAAGAATATTAATAATTAACACAAGGCTAGTTAGTGGCTGTTAAGGTCGATTAGTTGTATGGTGTTTGTATATGAACCTATAGCCGGTTTTGCACTATATTTCAATGTGCAAAGGCATTTATATTTGGTGAGATTTCAAGTCAATTTTCAAAGATGTTATTCTCGGCCCTAACAACTAAAATGGCTGTGTTAAACTAAGCTTTGTTAAGTTTGTCTCACTATTGACACTGATCTCCAAACTATCAAAGTAACATCTAAAAGATAAACAAATAGTCCACTCCGAATGAAAATTAATTCATATTGATTTTTGAGTGTAATGACATATTTTATTGTCTTTTGGAAAGTGAAACATTAAGAATTAATGTTCAATTTCTTTTTAGAGGCAATCAGTTTTATTACTGATTTTTGTAAGTACTACATCAATGCTATTACTTTCTTGTTCTGAATTAAAAATTAAAACTTCCAGTGAGCGACCCTAACAAAAAAGAATAAGCCGTCCTTAGTCTGTAAGAAGGCTTGTACATAAATTTATTCCACATTTTCACTCATTTTCTTTTTAGTATACACTGTTTATAAATGTATAGATAGTACAATAGGCTCTCGCTCATCCGGATCGGTCTTGTCCGGACTCCCGGTAGTCCGGATCGGCACAGTACAGTAGAAGTTCGACTATCCAAGCGGAACGGGACCGAGACTACCTTAAATGATGAAAAACATCGGATAACACGGCGGTAATAATTATTAATTATTACCGGTGGAAGTGCATATGCCCGGCTAACAAAATTCGGACGAAAACATTATACCGGTGGAAGTGCATATGCCCGGCTAACAAAATTCGGACGAAAACATTATACCGGTGGAAGTGCATATGCCCGGGCTATCATTACTGTGGACCTGGAACAAAATTCGGCCGAAACAATTATTACCGGTGGAAGTGCATATGCCCGGGCTATCATTACTGTGGACCTGGAACAAAATTCAGCTGTAAAGATTATTACCGGTGGAAGTGCATATGCCCAGCTATCATTACTGTGGACCTGGAACTAAATTGAAAACGGCTATATACAGTACTGTGTTTTTGCTCGACTCTCGATAGTCCGGATTTTTCGTAATCCGGACCGGACGTCCGCCACATTAGTCCGGATGAGCGAGAGTCTACTGTACTATAATCTAAAGAAATGCTTTAATGTGTCATACTTTGATGTGATAAACAATTCTTTACCAACATTCTGAAAAAGTACCTACCTTTTATCGTATTGCAGTGAAAACACTATTATAACTTAGCTAAAGCAGGAGCTAACTTATAAATAGCCCAACAAAGTCAGCAATAAATTTTATCACACAATGAAAGGTGTATTTTCCATTTTCACTTGTGTTCCAAAAATAAAACATCTTTTATATAAAAGTGTCACTCTGAGAGACCTGTAGGCCTACCTCTTGCCCCCCAACTCCAGCGTGACCGGTGTCAGATGCTCGTTGGCAGCAGCTCGCACAATCTTGCCTACAGAGGTGGAGCCGGTGTAGAAGATGTAGTCAAACTTGTGTTTCAACAATTCCGTTGTTTCTGACACTCCTCCAGTGACTACATGGAAACATTCCTGCAGACAGAATACACCGTGTTAGGTGAATGGAAGCGATTACATCTACTGGAACCATCATTGACTGACTGTCTGTTGAACAAGAGTTGAGTAATTGTACTATAAAAGGTAATGTTGGGTCAGTTAAATTAGGTTAGTTAACTTCAATGTCATAAACGTAAATTTTAGGTTGTCGAAGTAAGTTTATCAATCCACTTTGATTACTTTTACGTAGACACGCCAGTGGCATTATTAAAAGGAAAACTATATAACCTACAGTGGTAGCTCAAATAAAAAAAATCCTCATTAACAGGCCACCCTCAACATCAAGTGATTTTCAAATCCCCTTGTATTTATTTCACCTCTAATCACATGTTAAACTGGTGATTGTTGTCGAGATTCTGGTGTAGAAAGTTTATCTCCATAAACTTAATACACACTTTAATACACACTTGAGCTGAGTATTAGTAGGTTAATACCCTTGCAAAAAAGTTCTAGAATGCCACTAGTATTAGGATACGAAGAATAAAAATAAAATTCAATAAAGATAACATATATTACTTTATGTAAAACAAACTATCTTCATATTTTATAAAAGAGGTAGGCAGTCGGTTTAACTTTGCATTTGCCTATCTACATGAACCATCTGCAATCCAAATTCCGTACCCCGACAATAGCGACTTACCGAGTCCAGGTACTTAGGCACCAGCCGTTCTATCAGACTAGCACTGGCTGGCGCAACCTCGGAAGGCTTGATGATGACACAGTTCCCAGCAGCCACTGCACCGGCGACTGGAAGCAATGTGAGTTGTACTGGGTAGTTCCATGTTCCAAGCACTAGTGCCACGCCATAGGGCTCTTTCAGAATCTTCACACCATCAAACATGTTCGCCAGTGCCTTCTCTGGCTAAAATTTCAAAAAGAAAATCACCCTCATGTTTTAACACGAATTATCAAATATTTCATCAATAATGTAAAGTGTATCTCAGTAGACTAGTAATTCAGGGGTTATTTGAGAGCTAAAAGAAACTGTTTCTCTAGCTGGCAAGCTCTAAGTAGGCCTAAGTAAGATGTTAGATAGTATTTCTCTTCTGCTGTTTAGCCTACTTTTATTTAATCTGAACAATCTGTACTTCTCTGTTCATGCCATTTTTTGTGGATAAGAAATGATAATCTGGTTTAAAAATCTTGGTTTTGATAGAAAATGCTAGGGTATGGATAGGTTTGACTGACTAAAAATCTGTCATTCGTTTTAACTTCCTCTGTGTTGACTATAGTTTTGACCTCATCAGGTAATTCTGAACCATCGTCAGAGTTTAATTATCCTTTATTTATATATAAAACCTTACAATGAAGATGAATACACTTACCGTTTCAGGTTTCATCCAGTCTTTTAAATGTATTAATGTATTCCTAATGTCATTCTTCAATAAATCTATTTCCATTACATATGATTCCATCTTGCTCTGAAAACATACAAATAGGATTTAACCCTCCAAGTGTCCATAGTAATGGCATTAATGTCGGCCCATTTATTGCGCATTCGCATGGTTTTATTAAAATGTATCTTAGAAACTTAAAAACACTCTAAAGTAGGCCTATACTGTTTTATATATCATTTTGTTTGGTAAATTATGGGCTTCAATTTAATATATAAAACATTACAAAAAAAGTTTTCTACATTTTTTGTGGGGTTAACATTTCTCAAAAATTATAAAATAAATGAAAAATTTTTATGTTTGTGCTCAATAATTTCTTATAATTTTAGGTCTACAAATAGACTATTTTAAAATAGCCACTTCGTTCAAAATTTTATGAGGATTCCAAAAATATAATAATATAAGGAAGTAGGTTTGCAAATAAATGAGTTATGGGGGAAACCAGATTTCGTACATTTAGCGTTAGCTAAGAATGCATAGCCTAACCATAGCTAGGAATGTGGCGGATAATTTACATCAATATCACTACCTACTTCTTCAGGATCATCAACCAGCCCTTCAAAATCACTTAAATCTTCTTATAATGCACCACGTATATCACTACATTTTATTTTTAACACTAAAACAATGATAAACGTAATAAAACACATTAATCATCGGTGCGAGGTTAACCAAGTTGTTTACAAATACGCACGTCATCTGTCTGCTACAATATTTTCGGAACTAAAATGAAAAGCGTCTAGAAACAGACATCAGGAAAAAGCTTAGAATCTGCTGAAAACAACGATACCAATCTCGATCCAGTTCAATCTGATTCAGTCAGTCCCAGAGCCTTTGCCGTAAACGATGTTTGTGTGTCGCAAAAGCGACGCATAACACCACAGCGGATTACGCGACGCTTAACAATCGAAGGGTTAAAATCACTTTAAGGATACCCATCCTTAGACCTTAGAGTACCTAACTCATATAGAGCTCCCTCTTTTTTAAAGAAGGCAATGAAAGGGATGCTAGTAAAAAGGCTGCTTTACTCCCTCAACGAATTAGGTAGAGGATAAGCCCCTCATGAGATGCTTCGGAATAGTAGCCTGGGGGACAGCGGCGGATTGTTACATCTACATAATCCAAATTCTTCAAAAAATGGCATTAAGAATCATTGAGAACCTACAACCACAAGAGCATTGTAAACCATACTTCGTTAAAAACAAAATCCTTACCGTTCCAAACCTATACATCCTTGAAGTTGTAAACCTCCTAAAACTAAACCCCCCAAAGCTTAGGGAAAACTGCCACAAATATAGCTTGAGAAACACAAAAACAAACTTCGATATCCAACAACACAGATTGTCAAAAACCAGCAAAATACCCCAAATCATGGGGTCAAAAATCTTTAATGCTCTCCCAGAACATATAAAACAAATCAAATCTCCAAAACCTTTTTTTAAATCACTCAAAGAATATTTAGTCCAGAAACCATTCTACAAATTAGATGAGTTCTTTGAAGAGCACACTGCTCACCACAAAGATAGGCTTTAAAATAAACCCACTTTACACCATACACACACACACATTAACACTACAATAACACAACAAAAAAAGAAGATGACGATTCCCTAGTCTCTACGACTACGGAGAAGAGGACCAAGGTAAAAGGTAAAAGGTAAAAGATAAGTGTCTGTCTGCCAAGCCAATCCGTTAATGGCCAAGTTTTAGGTATTATTAACAATTCTTTAAATATTGAATATTGTATATAGTTTTATTTTATTTAAGTTTGTGAAGCTATCTAGATCCGGTAAAGATGGTGAACTCATATATAGCCTACAAGAAAGTAAGTATAGGCTAATTTGTCTTATATTTAACCTATCTATTTATAACCCATTGATTGTTATTTTTTTCCATAAGAAAGGCATGGTACCTTCTGAATTCCAGGGATTGCGGTGAAGATTAAAAGGAATTTTGAAAAGATGGCAATTGTTAAATCACAACTTACCATTTGATTAGTTGACCATTTCATTGACCTAAACTGTAGACTTGTAAAAGAAAAAAAGCTTTGTGGTGGCCTATTTGAATATTTTTTTATGTTAAGTTTTTTCTTTGATGAACTAAAAACAATGACTTACCTTGTGTAAATCAGATGAGAGAGCTGCCACAATTTCAGCCCCATTTTCTTCGTAAAGTTTCAACAGCTGTTGCAACTGTTGCTTACGGAACTCGTAGGGTTTTGTTTTTCCACTGCTAAATGCATTCCTCGCTCTCTCAATAATCTGTAAAATTAGGTCTATTAAGTTAGAAGGCATTTTTCAGCTTAAGAAATATAGGCTTAATAAAATATATATTTTGACAATATTAACAAAATAAAATAAATGAAATTTCCTTGATTTCCTTTGAAATTACCTTGTTTAGTGCGCAGGTGGCTTTCTAAGCGGCTGAACTATAGTATAGGTTGAAGGTTTTGGCTAAGTTGGCATTTTGATTAACTAAATATATTTTTGCGTTTCAATAAGTTAAGTAAAGGAAAATGGCATTTCAATGGCCTTTTTTTTAGTCTGAGTAGGAATAGGGTTTTCTCACTCTCTGATCCCAAGAAATGGGGTCCGTCTCAAAAAATATTACAAATCAAAGTATCAACTGAATCCGGACACACTATCTACATCTTCATAGCTTTGTGTAAAATAAGTTAACTGTTAAAAGTTTTAAGAGGGCTTCATAAATGCAAGTAGGCTAACACTGAAAAATACATTTACTCGTAAGAACAGTGGCAAGCTTGTCTAGTGGTAGAGTCCCAGGTTCTGATCACACCAATAATTTGTGGCTTTTATTTAGTAAAGCCCAGGTGATATACAAGCAACTCTTTGATGCACAACAATCACACATATCCGGATAAGGCACCTGGGTCTTCGGCCCGCCCCTTCCAGAAAAAAAGCAGTGGATAAAATTTTGAAATAGATTCTCTAACTTTATTAAACTCGGAACTGAGTTATATAATTGTTTTAAATATATTTTTTCTTTTATTTTATAAATGTACCTAGCTTACAGGCATTAGCTTTGACTATCAATAGAACTATAGACACTCTATCCCCATGTTGTATTATTTGTCACTAGGATTTAATCAATGGACGTAGCTGAACTGAGCCTCTAACAGATTGCAATGATGTAAATTTTCTAATTTCTGATTACTGTTAAAAAGTTATTGTACTATTTTTTGCGCCATAAAACCCCATTGATTAATTTATTCCCTCCACTTACCCATTTTAAATTGTTTTCCCCTGTATGCCTAATTTAAATTAAGTAAGTCAAGGGCGTACCCGGGATCAAAACTAGGGGGGGGGGCTTTGTAACATGGGCGGCACACCAGGGGGCCTGGGGAATATGGAATACCCCCCAGCACATAGGGGGCTCCCCCGGGAAAATTTTAGAAACAATATGCTGAAATAAGCGTATTTTTTTACGCAATTTTGAGACATTAATTTATCAAACCTAGCTCGATAATCCAGTGTTTATTTAAGTTTTAGTTTATGAAGTGGCTTTATGTCCGTCAATGGGGTCAGGTCAGGTTGCTTAGCTGTACAATAAATATTTAACTGTATTTTTGTGTCCTTGCCAACTTTTCACGTCCATTTATAACACCCAAAATGTGTGGTAAACTATTTTGAAGAATGCCTGATAACTTATGCCTTGAAGGCAACTAAAAACAAAATAATGTCACACAAAATAGGTTTAAATTAATTCATTATACTACACAAAGTTGTTAGTTTAGCCTATACATATTGCAAGAAATTGGTCTGTTTAAATTACCAATGTAGGAATTTTTATTTTATTTAAGAAATAAGTTACTGTAACTCAGAAATGAAAAATTGATAACATGTGCCAACAAATTTCATAAAAAATCTGTCCATCTTACTCATATTTTCTTGTACTAATAAAACTTTTCTTGGATCTCAATTTTGTATACCTTGTCCTGGCTTCTAGGAGGGGGGGGGCAGCTGCCCCACCCCTGCCCCTCTCTGGGTACGCCCATGAAGTAAGTTAGGATTTAATGTCAGGCTGATGGTAGAAAGTATGATTCATTTTGCTTCTGTTAATTTATATGAAATCTTACCTCCGTGTATTTCCCCATATCTGTGAAAACTGACTCGGACAAACAGCAATTCTCTGAAACAAATATTGTAAAATTATTACCGTAACGTAACCTAATGTGTACCAAAATCCTATTTTTTTAAAGTCTTATGAGGTTTAAAGGTTTCTGTTTACCTATTTTGAAATTTTTGACACAATTTTCTCCACACAGTTTTAAACTTAATACATTCATATTACTGTAGCCAATCAAATAGAGCTTATTAACTACCGGTAACTTATGATGTGCAATTTGAGTTAAATTGCTTCATTAGAGATCCAAGACGTTTAAGTTATCAGACTTCCATTGAATCTCATGACTTCAACTTGTAGGACATTGATACGGTAGGCCTACTTTTATCCTAGGGTAAAAATTCAGTTTCCACAACTCACCTTGTTAGTTTGTTACCGTAAGTTAAGTCCATCTCAATAGAAAAGGACGATGTATAGATTTTGTAAGGAACGGTATTTGAGGTAACTTAAAGTTATGACACAATAAAAACCGTTGGCTACTTTTGGGGGAAAATTTTTAATAGGCCATAGGCCTACTTTTTATTTAAAACCATGAAAGATTTTGTACCTACTGTGTTGTTGTTGACCTAAAATTGCATTAGACTAAGTTAAGTTCAATCAATTCAATTATCAATTATTTAAGATGGGGACGCCAATATGTGCGTATAATAACCCAACTATGAGTGAAGGATGAGTGTAGGATGAGTGGCGCAATCTTGTAGTCTTGTTAGTGACTAAGGCTGACATATTCCTTAGACACAGCTGTTAATTAATAGCCCATACAGCTAATGGCAACTAAGTTAAGGGACCTACAGTTTATAGTGGAATACAAACCAATTTTTCCTTGAAATTAACGAATTGGTTTAATTATCAGGATAGTACTGCGGATAGTCGTAGTACTCACTAGTGTGGACGTTAATCCACACCAGGGAGCATCGCATCCACAGTGCATGCTTATAAATATCCACAATTCATAAGTTACATCATACGGACCAAAATTAAAGTGTTACTGATAAACTTAAGTTAAAACCAAACTTAGCCTAGCCTATAGAACATAGGCTATACTCTTATATGACAAGAATAGTATATTGAATACTTCAAGAATTTTTAAAACATTAACCTATAAAATGATAACATATAGAACTAGGGTTAAAATCTAATAGGCTAACTTATTTGTGTTTTCCAGTTTTACAAACAAATTAAACTAGCCTATAAAATGGGCATATGGTAACTTACAAGCTACAATATTATTATCAATTTAATAATGAGCACTTGAATCATACAACAAATAGTTCAACGAGACAAGGCAAAACAAGGATAACGGTAGTAATGCTGCATCATAACAATGTTCCTACAAAATTGACAATGAATTAATTATTTATAATGTATGGCAATGACAGGCCTATTTAACAGACCTATTTTACTAATAAACAGCTGATGTCCAATGAATCTTGACATTTGACAATGACAACATCCAACGATGAATGGCGGCGGCTGGCGGATGTCAAAGCAACCAGTTTTTGTTTACAGACTGACCAACGTGAAGATTTAAAGAATTGGTTTGCAAAAAAATACAATTTGCCATACCACATAAAAATAATTACCTTCGTTAATATGAACACAGAATAACGTATTCAGTATTATTGTAAGGGGAAATTATATGTAATTTTTATTCAGCCTCAATTTATCCTTCCATATTTTTATTCTTCTTCATATCTCTTCTCTCCGGAGCTTCACCTATAGATCTACGAGTGGAAGCGCCATCCGTTTCTTCAACAAACTCCCAGCTGCGGGTCGCCGGAATTTTATCCCCCTGGAATTTTACCCCCTGGGCAAAGCTGACGTCACTATGACGTAGGCCAAAAGTTTGTTCGCGGCCGGAATTTTACCCCCGCGGATTTGGAAGTCTAATGAAAATAGTCAGAGCGTGATTAATTAGATTAGCGATAAAAACCGGAATTTTACCCCCTGTCCATATAACTAGAGTTTAGGCAACTGAAGATGTACGGGCCGGATTTTTACCCCCGGAATTTTACCCCCCGGAATTTTACCCCTCGGAGTTTTACCCCCTGGCTGATTTTAGAAATTGAATGATTGATTTTCTTATTTCTGTTTTTAATTAATTGTAAACATTTCATTATTTAGTAGCATATCTTTATTTATTTATTTTGTAATCTCAACTAAGTAAACAGAATTCGCTGTTTTATTTTGATCATATTAACCAACAGTTGGCTTCAAAGATCGAATCCTGACACTCGAATCTCAAAATTAATATTAGGGTTTTAATAACTAACTGTTGTAAACGTTCGATTAGTTAATGTTACATATAAATTAAGATAGGCTACTTAATAATAAAATGTTTACCATTAAATTAAAACTGAATGACGATAATTAATCATTCTCACTAATTTATATCTGGCCAGGGGGTAAAATTCCGGGGGTAAAATTCCGGGGGTAAAAATCCGGGGGGTAAAATTCCGGGGGTAAAAATCCGGGCCGTACATTCTAGGTTTTTTATAATTTGATGTGTTCTGATTAAACTCACAACCGTGAAAATATATGTTTAATTCCGCGTTTAATCCATCGAGCTGATGTCGCGAAACTCAAAAGTTCGCGGCCGGAATTTTACCCCCTGGTTTGTGACGTCACGTTTGCCCAGGGGGTAAAATTCCAGGGGGATAAAATCCGCTACCCCCCCCAGCTGCCACTAAGACCCTCGCCAGCAGAAAGTTTAAAACCACCACAGGAAATTTCTTGCTCCGTAAAAATCCCTACTTCTCAATAAAGGAATTCCTGGAAGGTAGTTTGGATGAGCTTAATTAGTAACATAGTGACCACCATGAGTACTAAAGTATGTTTTTTTTTACACATTTAAAAATTTTTGAGTCTTGTACATATGTGCGGGAAATAAAATAAGTTGTTTTTACGCTGACACAGCCTATTCCCATCATACGATGGGTCAACGGCCAAGAAGGTGGTAATAAGGTAATAACATAAATAGAGAGATGGTCATCTGGTACTATATTCTCTCACATTAAACCTCATCACAAAAAACCTCATCAGATAAAAAGCTTTAAACTATCAAAAGCAGTGACCCGACAACAGAACCTTAGACACTGTGGACGGTCTAACATTAAAATTTTAACATTTAGGACGGTAAAAACAAAAGATAATACTGCCGATAATACTGATAATAAGATAATACTGATAATAATGAGACAACGTGACTTCCGTCTAGACATAATTTCCGCCCGATCACGTCGTGTCTCGTAGGCCTACCATACAGGACCCAGCTGTTTGTAGGGTTAAAATAAGCACCTAGGTGGCGTCCCCAACTCCCAATTATTGATAATTGATAATTGATACAGTATCATCTTTCATTTTTACCGTCATAAATGTTCAAATTTAAATGTGTGTGTGTACGTGTCTTATTTATTATTTTATCAACTAACGACCTTCATATGAAGCGACAAGACATCTTCACTGGCCTATGGATGACTCCCAATAATATGAGTTGAAACCGGTTTCCATACCGCAACGCGATGGATCGCAAACATGCAAGTATTTTACACAAATGCTATCAGGAGGCTAAAATTCAATTCAAATCGTGAAACAATAACACGGAGAACAGAACCCAGTCTTGCGAACATAAGAAGCTATTGTTGAATATATTATGACATTGATTATGATGGCAGGTAGGTCATGATGAGCATTCATAGAAGCAGCATTGCTAGCATTACAGGTGTCATTGAATACATAATCAGTTTCAGGCGTGGCTGGCCTTGGATTTGAGGCTCTGGGTTCAAAATTGTGTTTAAAACGTTGTATCGATAGACAAACCGAATGTTTAAACTTTGATAGGTAAAACTTGATCATATTGACTTAAATAAACTGATTGTCTAGTGACGATTTTCTAATTCAATGTAAACGTATATGTTTTTTGTAGTATCTTTGACTGTTCATATATAGAACTAGACATTCCATACCCATATTAAAATTGTTGCCATAGTATTAAAATCAAAATTGGACGAAGCTGAAATAAGCGCTGTAAATTACTGATTTCTGTCAAATATTCAGACTTTTAAAGAGTAAGACAAACTGATAAGACGACTTATTGTACACTGTATCATCTTTTATCTTACGACAATAATTACTATCTCAGTTAAAAAAATAAAGTAGAAAATATAATTACACACTCTGGTGACTGGCTCACCTATACCTTTTTTAATAAAAATTTGGCAACAGCAGGTACAGTACCACGAATATTAGAGTAGAAACTAGAGAACCCGTGCGGCTCAATGAGCCGCATAGTATAAAACAACGCCGAGGAAAACGTTATGCTTCAATTCGAGTAATTCTAGTAGTTACATCTTAGAGTTGTTTAAACACTTGTTAGAAACTATTTTAAATATCCCTATTTGTGTCGTCAAGGTTCACCTACATTATTTCTGCTCTCAGTTTTAACTGATAACTTCTAATGAATGCTAAGCGATCTGCTTCAATTCGAGCTAACATGTTGCAACAAAGTTTTTCCAGCATTGAGAATATAAGAAAACTGTTGCCTAGACATCCCCCTAATCAAACGAATTTTCTCCGTAGAGAATCCTGAAAAATGGAGTGATATAAACCATTTAATGTGCTCCATTTTTTACCCACAAACTCTGGGTTATCAACTGGAAAGCCATAATCTGCTTTGAATAGGCTAAAGCAGCAACTTATCAATGGCGTTACACCATTGATAGTTTGTTAACGTATTTTAACGTGTTGTGTGTTAGTCACAGTATATGACCTGCATCAGAACGTTCTCACATTGTTCTTTGGGGTTTCTCTTAATACCTGTCCCAAAGTTTTGAAAGTATGGATTCATTTATCGAAATAGGTTGGATAACTCTTGTAGCTATAAGATTTGGATAGCAATTTTCATTTTCTCTTTTTGAACAGCGTATATTATTTGCCTCTCCTGAATCATAAAATTAAACTTGACTGTAACTACTCGATCGTTGAATACATAAACACTAATTCCTTCA